AGCGAAAGTGGTGGGTTGCACCAGATTTCACGGAGTGCCAAACCTTAGAGTTTGGGAAAATATTTTATAGGCGTAGTGTTTCGTCTGAATATGACAACAGCTGCTTGTGTAGCGTTTCGTCTAAAAAAAGGTAATTTCTTGTGTTTCATCTGAATACTCGTTACTTCCATGGATTTATTATTTGACTTATTATATTTTTTTACATATAAAAGTAAGAAGATGTGGTGTGATTATCAATGAGACAACGTGCATATATGTATATGTATATATCTATATATAAGAGATGTAGGCATAAGTCGGTGATCGAGACACTACAGCCTATATACAAATGACATCTACATGTATATTAATGTCAACGTACGGTCTTCAACAATATTTGTATAGATAAACATACATATGTGTGATTTCTAAAAAAGATAAACATATATGTGTGTGATTTCTTAAAAAGATAACCATATATGTGTGTGATATCTGAGAAATATATGTGTGTGATTTCTGAGAAAGATAAACATATATGTGTGTGATCTCTGAGAAAGATAAAATTGAGAATGGAAATGGGGAATGTGTCAAAGAGACAACAACCCGACCATAGAACAGACAACAGCAGAAGGTCACCAACAGGTCTTCAATGCAGCGAGAAATTCCCGCACCCGGAGGCGTCCTTCAGCTGGCCCCTAAACAAATATATATACTAGTTCAGTGATAATGAACGCCATACTAAACTCCAAATTGTACACAAGAAACTAAAATTAAAAATAATACAAGACTAACAAAGGCTAGAGGCTCCTGACTTGGGACAGGCGCAAAAATGCGGCGGGGTTAAACATGTTTATGAGATCTCAACCCTCCCCCTATACCTCTAGCCAATTATAGAAAAGTAAACGCATAACAATACGCACATTAAAATTCAGTTCAAAAAAATCCGAGTCTGATGTCAGAAGATGTAACCAAAGAAAATAAACAAAATGACAATAATACATAAATAACAACAGACTACTAGCAGTTAACTGACATGCCAGCTCCAGACTTCAATTAAACTGATTGAAAGATTATGTCTTCATCATATGAATATCAGGCACAATCCTTCCCGTTAGGGGTTTAGTATCATACCATCATAACATATATGAGAAGAACATAACCCGTGTCATGCCAACAACTGGTTTTTAAGTAAATGTGTTTAGTGCCGATGCAAAGACCCTATAAGTGAATCAATATTAACGCCAAAATATGCAATCTTTAATGACCTGACAACAGTATCGTAACTATATCCCTTCTTAATAAGTCTATTTAAAGGTTTTGTTAGCTTCAGAGGTGAATACTGACATTTTTGTGCTTTATAAAGAATATTTCCATAAAAAATTGGATGTGAAATACCTGAACGTATAAGAAGTCTGCATGTTGAGCTATATTTACGAATGATGTCCTTATACCGATGATAAAATTTAGTAAATGTTTTGACTAGTTTGTGATATCGAAAACCCTGGTGTAATAATTTTTCAGTAATACATAAATTTCTCTCGTGTTATGTTTTAGATGCTTTGTTTCTGAGACATTTTAAATCTGTGAATGTTACTTTAATTTTAAATTCTTCACATACAGCACATTATAGGGCCTTTAGTTTAGCTATTTATGTAGTATCATAGTGTTGATATTTTATAGGATTTTTCAATACTATATTCTCCATATATGTGTGTGTGATATCTGAGAAAGATAACTATATATGTGTGTGATATCTGAGAAAGATAAACAATCCGATAGATGCTTTGTTTCTGAGACATTTTAAATCTGTGAATGTTACTAGTACTTTAATTTTAAATTCTTCACATACAGCACATTATAGGGCCTTTAGTTTAGCTATTTATGTAGTATCATAGTGTTGATATTTTATAGGATTTTTCAATACTTGTTTTATTTGTATATTTTGTCACGTTACCGACTTTATTCACTCGTTGCTGATGTTGCGTATGTTCTTATTTAAGATTTGTTTTCTCATTTAGAGATTATTACACAATTCTTTTATTGCTGGGTATAGTTGTTATTAAACTTCTTTCCTTTGGTGAGACGGTTTTTATCAGTCATAACAGATTATAATGTTTTCCTCTATAATCGTAATACTTACTTTTGTATTGAAATAGTTTGTAGTTTTTAATAGTGCTATTTAATTATTATTTCCTCAGTAACGGCTCTGTCTTACTTGCATTGTTAACGTGATTAATTATGATTTCGTCCTTTTTCACATTTTTGTCTTCTTTCGTTACTGAATTATTATCTTGCCTTCCTATCCTATCCTTTGTGACTTAGTTATAATTTCAGCGCCTTTCCTTTCTGACTTCGTTACTTTTTATTCATCCTTTCGTTGCTAAATTGGAGTCATTTCGTGCAGAGATAGTTTTCAGTCGTACGTTTTGGTTGAGTGGTTAGTTGCGATTGTTCCCCCTTTCCATTTATGAGTTATTTTTTGCTAAGTCCTCATTTCGTTGTTGAGTTATGATTTTGCAAAAAAAACTTAAGATATGGGAGGGGGAATAAATTTGCGATAAGCCACCGATTCCTTCCAGCAGTGAATGATCATTTGTTCGCCCTTGTTCCGTTGATTTTCTCAATCATGATACAAATATTTCTTCCTACAACTATTATAGACTAAGTTTATAGTGGACATACACCGGACCGTTTATAGCTTACTATATTGTATGGTGGGCTTTTGCATATGGTTGAAGACATCCAAGTACGTCCTTTGGTCTATAATGGAAAGTTTTCCATTGGCAATCATACACCACATCTGCGTAGTTTTATATATGAAATTCATGATGGAGATAAAAGTTGACACAATTAAGTCGCTATTAGGGTAAAACAATTCGTAACGAGTATAGGGGCGGATCTAGGATTAAGTGGGAAAAAATTTAGACTATTTTATACTAAAAATTTATATATATCGTGAAAGATACAATATTTTTAATTTTTTTAGGCGATTAAAGGGGGCACGTACGCCCTCGACACTCCCATGGACCCCCCATTGACGCATGTGCTATGATTTCAGCAGTCGTCGTCATAACACTTTGGGATTGGTGTATTTCTATTTCTGAAATTGCATAAATATAAGAGCATGATCTGGCATAACTGAGATATGTAAAGATGAGAGAAGATGAAATGTTTCCACTCAAAAATTGGAAGTTGATAGTAGGAAAACTGAAATCATTACAATTGTTATTGAGGTAGACCATTACCCATCTGTGTGTTCCCGTCTACTCTATTCCTCTACTTTATTGCCCACATTTCAGCTATGCTTTTGCAATAAAAATAAGAAGATATTATGATTTCCAATGTAGCAATTATCCTCAAGTAGACGAAAGCAACTACATGTTTGAAAGCCTACGATGGTAGACATGGTAGATAAATACTTTAAAAATCTTAAATAGACTTATTTGAATGCACAGTAGAAACAGAAAGGTATAACTCTGTCAAGCAGTGTACAAACTCTAAGAAAAATACGTCCAAATAATGTTTGATATGTATACAAAAGAATGGCTGAATTAATGTGTATTCTTCTTTCGTTTAAAATTCCAAATCATGAAACTGTTTATACAAGCTGAACCGGTGGTTTCTTTTACATTACAAACGTGTTTTATCCTAAAAATATTAACATGATCGATAAGCAGTGAATTTTTCATGACAATATCCGATTTAAAATTTGAAAACCTAATCAGTGGCACAGGATGTATTCATTTGAATCGAACGAGTGCATTTATACATTGTATTGCATTTGATTGTCGAAAATTGCGCATGATGGTCAGTTTGAAAGGAATTTAAAAAATACTCAGTCGTTTGTTTATCGAAGAAATAAATGCCACTGTATAAGAAGATTCGGAGTAAAGTGTTTTCTGATGAGAAAAGGTATTCAGGCCAAATAATTAACGTTCGGAGTAAAGGGTTTTCTGATGAGAAAAGGCATTCAGGCCAAATAATTTACGTTCGAAGTAAAGTGTTTTCTGGTGAGAAAAGGTATCGAGTCAGGCCAAATAATTATCGTTTGGTTAATATGTTTTAATATCTTATTTGAACTATTCGTAAGTATTGCATATTAAATAAAAAGCACAATTTGTAAGTTTGATTTAATATTTATCGTTTAATTCGATTTTTCCATTATTTTTCTTTTCAATTTCATTATAATTTAATTATTATGTTTTTTTGTAACTTCTGGTAAACTTTTAGAAAGGAAAACACTTTAGGAATTTTATGCATCCGAAGCGCTTTTCTGGATTTACCTTCTTCAAGAACTCTCAAAGCCGAAAATTTGAAAGCCAAGGATTTATAATAATCGATTGTCGAATATTGTATCTAATTGCACCCCTATGCCTAATTATTCAACGAGTGATTGCTACGAAAAGTAAGTATTCCAGGATGATCTCAACCTGAGTCTATACTCACTAAGCATGATTTTTACAATTAGATTCAAAGCTGGTTATATATTTCCTGTACTCGAAGGAATTTTTTTTATAGTTGGACAATTCATTTCACAGCTCAATATGTACTCTATCCTAAGTTTATAACTACCTTGAGTAATGAAAAGCAATTAAAAAAACCCCAAAAACAAACAAATAAAAAAAACATGTGCCGTGACTACTTACTTTTTTTTACATTTTGTACTGCTGACGGAGGCTTCACTGTGTATTTATTATCAAGAGAACTAGTATTATGACTGAGACATAATATATCAGTATAATAGTCCCAGTAATATCATGGCATAGTAAATATAGATGTACAAACTACAAAAAAAACAACAACAAAAACAAAGAAAAAACACGTTAAACGTGACACAAGAGACATATATAATCTGGGACTATTATACCAGAGACATATAATACAATGTATTATATGTCTCTGGTTAAAATAAATGGGGAAATAACTGAGAGTATAGAGAGTATAGTACTTTTAATACATGTATAAAATAAAACTGTCCGAAACGACCGACGCAAAACTTGTGACATCCAAGGCCGAACTTGTTGCATGGCCGAAACGTCTTGTTTCCTTTATTATCTCTCTTTGTATATTTCCGCTTCTGAAAACAACTTCGTCTAACTAAGTAACTTTGGAAACTTATCAAATAATATTACTTTGGCATGAAATAAAGAAACTGTAATGCATGGCGACAGCAGTGGAATCAGCTCCTTTAGTGGAACGAGCTGTTCCTACTATTAGATTTGCTGACGACAGCATAGACTTGAACGTACCAGAACCAGATAGTCCTCGAAGTACTTTAAGTGGGAACAGTTTCAATTCCTATTTTCCCGAATTCATACGTTCTCTTTCTATTGGCAGTGATCAAGATTCTGATTTTGATGAGCTAGATGGACTGCCAGATGTTGAATTTCCAGAATGCCATGGATTCGATGTCACAGATGGTGACGAACATGCAGGTAATACCGAATTATGTGGTCTTGCAAACCTGTACCAAGCTTAATTTTAATATGAGACAGGTGTACAAGAGTACACAGTCCATTTTAATATCTATTTGAATAACATCACTTTTTTTATGATTTGATTAAAAAACATCACTTGATACTGAGACTACTATAACACATGTTATAGTAGTCTCAGCTTGATAAAATAACTTTGAATCTTACTTACATTGTATCACTGCTTATAACGGAATGCCGGAAACATCTTTACTCGTACCATGTCAGCCCGTTCCCAAATTTGCAAACATGACTTGTACTACATGTACTAATACCTTTTGGGATTCTGAGCCTGAGTGATTTTCTGATTTTGCCGCCACAAATCCCTTATCATGCTTATCAAACCCTATAATTAAGTCTATCCAGGAAAGATTTTGCCAACTACCTCACCTTTCAGAATCGGATAAAAAATTTTATATCACTCCTGACTCAGAATCCCAAAAGTGATTAGCCTTGTACCACTGTCTGATTTCAAACTCCTGTCATGTCTGCTCAGATTACCCACATAATTAGTTTATTTGCACATTCTGTAATTGAGATCTATTTTGTACTAGTTGCTTCCCTTAGGAGGGACATGCATTTTCATTGACAGCGGAGTGCATGTGGGAAGAGCAAATTTATCTCTGCGTTATTTGTGGAATATTTTAGTTGTACATGTATTTAATCTTTAAAAGAAATTGTTAAGCTAAATACTTTTAATATAAATAGTAATTTTTCATTAAAATTTGGTTAAAGACCTTTTTTTACTACTTTTAACTTACCATGCATTTCATGCACAGTCCATTTAGTCTGGTTTAGAATTGGTCTACAGTTAGCAAAGGTACCTTGTGTTAAACATGTACATGTAAAATAACAGAAACAAATAGGTAATTGGAAAATAGATTAAAGGATCGATGGACACAAATGTGAAAGGCGCATTCAAGTTGTCTGATAGGCATAAAAAGGGAAAAATTGATCATGACTATGTCAATAGATTTAAAAAAAAATTAATGATTAAACTTGAATAATTTAAAGTATTTTTAATTTTTTCCACTGAATTCATATACAGTAATTTAAAATAAAATTACATGTTATATTTTGGGTGTAAAAAGCTGTCATGAGTACAATTCTTGCCAGAATTTTATGAAACTTATATCATAGGTTTATATCAGCAATGTCTCAGACAAGTACGAAAATCAGTGCTGATCAAAAAAATTAATAAGAGTTATGCCCCTTGGAAATAATAATTATATTGAAAATTGCATTGTATTTGCTCTCAAGCCTTCATTTCTTTTAAGATAATTATAAAAAGTTTTAAAGAACAAAAATAAAAGTTTTTTAGTTATTGCCCTTGGATAGATAAAATATGTGCAACATGGGGGACATTGGAACTCTGTTCTTTTATTTGCATCTTGGACAAAACTACATACATGTATAGAAGATAACTATAAACAATAAAAATGATCAGCAAAAAGTCAAGAAAGCAAAAATTGCCAATTTCATTTCTAAGAATAATTGCCCTTGAATGATGATTTTACTCATTTTTGTGTTTTTTGGCAAAAACCATAGTAGATATATGTACAGAGAGAAACTAAAAAAAATTGATCAGCAAAACAAGACCAATATAAAAGAGATTTTAGTCATGAAATATATTCTAGTTTACATTGTTAGAGCGTGGCCATTGTCAAAGATGTACATATATCCAAGTGAGCAAGACAGGATCTTTTATAAATTAGAACCTCTAGTTATAGTTTGTTCTTATGTTGCCCTCTAACTGTCCCAGGATTGGGGGTAGGGTTGAGGGGAAAGGGCGTTCACAATTTTTTTTTTGCCCCCGCCGTAGCCGAGGGGGCATTAAGTTTTACCCTTGTACTTACAAATGTATGTACGTACGTCCCAAAGTTGGTTTCCGTTCTCCAACTTTAGTTTGCTTCAACTAAATGTTATGAAACTTATGCAAAATGCTTATTACCACAAAACACAGATCAAATTTGAATTTTGGTAGCTTCACTTTAACCGTTCTAGAGTTATGCCCCTTTACAAATGGAAAAATTGCTGAATTTTTTGTTTCCGTTCTCTAACTTTAGTTTGCCTCAACCAAATGTTATGAAACTTATACACAATGCTTATTACCACAAAACACAGATCAAGTTTGAATTTTGGTGGTGTTACTTTAACCGTTCTAGAGTTATGGCCCTTTACAAATGGGAAAATTGCTTAATTTTTTGTTTCTGTTCTCTTACTTTAGTTTGCCTCAACCAAATGTTATGAAACTTATACACAATGCTTATTACCACAAAATACAGATCAAGTTTGAATATTGGTGGTGTCACTTTAACTGTTCTAGAGTTATGCCCCTTTACAAATGGAAAAATTGCTGAATTTTTCGTTTCCGTTCTCTAACTTAAGTTAGCCTCAACCAAATGTTATCAAACTTATACATAATGCTTATAATTACCACAAAATATAGATCAAGATGGAATTTTGGTGGTATCACTTTTACTGTTCTAGAGTTATGCCCTTTACAAATGGAAAAATTGCTGAATTTTTCGTTTCCGTTCTATAACTTAAGTTTGCCTCGACCAAATGTTATGAAACTTATACACAATACTTACTACCACAAAACTCAGATCAAGTACAAATTTGGGTAGCGTCACTTTTAACATTCTTCAGTTTTATCCCTTAATAACTTTATATGATATGCAAGCGGGGGCATCATATGTGTCCCATGGACACATTCCCCATTTATTTATTTTTTAACCCCACCACATTCTATATGTGCCTGTTCCAACTCAAAAACCTGTATTTCAGTGGTTGTCTTGGTTTGCTGTCTGACAAATATTTGGTTTGTTATTTTATCATAAATGAGGCTGATGTTTTTTTGTTCTTGAATTGTTTCACATTTTGCAATATCTGAGCTTTTTATACAGTATGGGTTTCGCTCAATGTTAAAGACTATGTAGTTGCTTAAATTTATACAATTTTGGAGTAGGGCATCCAAAAAATATTTTGTCTGAAAAGTAAGGGAACTTTATTTGCATCATATGATACATGTAGATTTATGCATTTCTTCAAATAAAAGATAGAATTTTGATGGAAACGCAAGATATCTCATGCATTTGTCAACCTAGTGTACAGATTTAACTTTTTCTATTAGTGTCAAAGGAAATACCATTTAAAGATGTCCATACACCATCTGTTCCATTTGGAGGTATCCGAAGAAACTGTTGGATTCCGGGAGTACCAATCCAAATAAAGATAACATCATATGAAAGACATCAAGCTCATATCAAAATCTTCAGCCCTTATTTGTAAGTATAGATAACACCATATAACACACCTCATATCAAAATTGTCAGCTCTTATTTTTAAGTATCAATAACACCATATCACAGACTTTATATCTAAATCTTCAGCTCTTATTTGTAAGTATAGAAAACCCCATATGACTGACCTTATATCTAAATCTTCAGCCCTTAATTGTAAGTATAGATTACACCATCTGACATACCTCATATCAAAATCTTTGGTCCTTATTTGTAAGTATAGATTACACCATCTGACAGACCTCATATCTAAATCTTCAGCCCTTAATTGTAAGTATAGATTCACCATCTGACAGACCTCATATCAAAATTTTTGGTCCTTATTTGTAAGTATAGATAACACAAAATGACAGACCTCATATCAAAATCTTTGGCCCTAATTTGTAAGTATAGATTACACCATCTGACAGACCTCATATCAAAATCTTTGGTCCTTATTTGTAAGTATAGATTACACCATGACAGACCTCATATCAAAATCTTTGGTCCTTTTTTGTGAGAAAAGATAACACCATGACAGACCTCATATCAAAATCTTTGGTCCTTATTTGTAAGTATAGATTACACCAAATGACAGACCTCATATCAACATCTTTGGTCCTTATTTGTAAGTATAGATTACACCATCTGACAGACCTCATATCAAAATCTTCAGCCCTTATTTGTAAGTATAGATTACACCATATGACAGACCTCACATCAACATCATTGGTCCTTAATTGTAAGTAAAGATTACACCATCTGACAGACCTCATATCAAAATCTTTGGTCCTTATTTGTAAGTATAGATAACACCATGAGAAACCTCATATCAAAATCTTTGGTCCTTATTTGTTAAGTATAGATTACATCAAATGACAGACCTCATATTAAAATCTTTGATCCTTATTTATAAATAAAGATAACACCATGACAGACCTCATATCAAAATCTTCAACCCTTATTTGTAGGTATAGATAACACCAAATGACAGACCTCATATCAAAATCTTTAGTCCTTATTTGTAAGTATAGATTACACCATCTGACAGACCTCATATCAACATCATTGGTCCTTATTTGTAAGTAAAGATTACACCATCTGACAGACCTCATATCATAATCTTTGGTCCTTATTTGTAAGTATAGAAAACACCAAAATGACAGACTTCATATCAAAATCTTTGATCCTTATTTATAAGTATAGATAACACCATGACAGACCTCATATCAAAATCTTTGGTCCTTATTTGTTAAGTATAGATTACACCATATGACAGACCTCATATAAACATCATTGGTACTTATTTGTAAGTATAGTTAACACCATCTGACCGACCTCATATCATAATCTTTGGTCCTTATTTGTAAGTATAGAAAACACCAAAATGACAGACTTCATATCAAAATCTTTGATCCTTATTTATAAGTATAGATAACACCATGACAGACCTCATATCAAAATCTTTGGTCCTTATTTGTAACTGTAAGTATAGATAACACCCAATGACAGATCTCATATCAAAATTTTTGGTCCTTATTTGTAAGTATATATTACACCATCTCTCAGACCTCATATCAAAATCTTCAGCCCTTATTTGTAAGTATAGATTACACCATATGACAAACCTCATAACAACATCATTGGTCCTTATTTGTAAGAAAGGATTACACCATCTGACAGACCCCATATCAAAATGTGTGGTCCTTATTTGTAAGTATAGATAACACCATGACAAACCTCATATCAAAATCGTTGGTCCTTATTTGTTAAGTATAGATTACATCAAATGACAGACCTCATTTTAAAATCTTTGATCCTTATTTATAAATATAGATAACACCATGACAGACCTCATATCAAAATCTTCAGCCCTTATTTGTAAGTATATATAACACCAAATGACAGACCTCATATCAAAATCTTCAGCCCTTATTTGTAAGTATATATAACACCAAATGACAGACCTCATATCAAAATCTTTAGTCCTTATTTGTAAGTATAAATTACACCATGACAGACCTCATATCAAAATCTTTGGTCCTTATTTGTTAAGTATAGATTACACCATATGACAGACCTCATATCAACATCATTGGTCCTTATTTGTAAGTAAAGATTACACCATCTGACAGACCTCATATCTAAATCTTCAGCCCTTATTTGTAAGTATAGATTACACCATCTGACAGACCTCATATCAAAATCTTCAGCCCTTGTTTGTAAGTATAGATTACACCATATGACAGACCTCATATAAACATCATTGGTCCTTATTTGTAAGTATAGATAACACCAAATGACAGACCTCATACCAAAATCTTTGGTCCTTATTTGTAAGTATAGATAACACCATGACAGACCTCATATCAAAATCTTTGGTCATTATTTGTTAGTATAGATAACACCAAATGATAGACATCATATCAAAATCTTTGGTCCTCAATCATTGTTATTTGTAAGAAAAGATAAAACCATATGACAGACCTCTTATCAAAATATTTGGCCCTTAATCATTGTTATTTGTAAGAATAGATAGCACCATATAACAGACCTAATATCAAAATCTTCAGCCCTTATTTGTAAATGATTACACCATCTGACAGACCTCATATCAAAATCTTTGGCCCTTAGTCATTGTTAGTTGTAAGTAAATATAACGCCATATGTGAGACCTCATATCAAAATTTTTGGCTTTTATTTGTTAGTATGGAAAACATCATGACAGACCTTAAAGCAAAATTGTCAGCCCTTTTTGTAAGTACAAAAAAAATGTATATAGAACACCACTACAGATCTCATATCAAAATTAATACAAATATTTTACCTGTTATCCTTTCTCCAAATTTAAGTGATAGGCCAAACTACCATTGACTTATTACATGTACAATGTGTGCCTCTAGTTTTTTGGACAGATGATAATTCTTTTTTTAGCAGAGTTGCAATGAGGTCGAATTTGCCTCAATATATCATGATGAATGTTGTTCAGACATCTGGTTGTCCAACATTAGTATTTTGCTTTCCAGATAAAGTGTGTGACCCACAAGAATATCTTTACCGAACTTGGCTTGATATTGTTTTTTGAGTCAAAGCCAAGGTCACATCATTATTGATAGACTGAAATTTTAGCCAAATTTTTGTTCTGAAATATTATCTTTAGAGCCATACATCCAACTTTTAGCAAACTTGATTTGATAATGCTTCATGAGATTAGCGGTACTTAGAACTTACAAATGTAGCTTGAGAATGAGCCTTGGAAGAACAAGACCAAAATTGCTGAAAATTTAAAAAAAGTATTAACAAGGAATTATTTGAATCTGGAATAATTGAATTCTTGAAAATTGATAAGAAATCTATGACGAAAACTTACCTAATTTAGGTTGGTTAGCCATGCATGCATTGCTAAGGAGGGTTAGTTAGTACATATTGAAATATCAGTGAAAGTAAAATTAACCTTAGCCATGCATATATGGCTAACCCTCTTAAGTGTGGTTAGTTTTCATCATACATTTCTTATCAATTTTCCAGAATTCAAACAGATTCAAATAATTCCTTATTTATTGTCATTTATACCTGTAGTTAACTTGATATCATTAGTTTAGGAGTCTTTCAGTCTATTGATCAATATAATGTGGGGTTATAATATTTCTTATATTGCACCATGATTGCAATAACTATAAATTAATACTGGTAATTGATTTCTTTGGAGACTAATACAGGTATTTATAAACAAATTTACATTTTTCTGGACTTACTGAATCTGATTCTTAATTGTTGTTCAGCAGCCAAAATTCTTTTTATTCTGGAAAATTACAGTTGAACAATAAATCAACTGTGAATTCTATTTCTCAAGAGTCTTTAATTCTTCAGCCATTTACATTGCAAATTACACCACTGTCATCTACATTTACATCTACATATGTGCTTTATCATAAATATCATATGAAAAAACAAAATTCCTGATACTAAATTCTGAATTTTACACGATTGCATTGATCAATACATTATACATTGTAATTGCCATCAAATCTATTCTGTTTTTATGTAATGTTTTTCTACAAAATAATAAAATAGTTATCTTCTATAGGTACACTATAGCTATTAAACATGGAGAATTTGAATGGACAATTCGTCGAAGATACAAACATTTTACACATCTTCATCAGCAACTTCAACTGTACAAAGCCAAGTGTAGTCTGCCAATGCCGACAAAATCGTAAGTTTCAACACTTCCTGTATCTGCACAGATTCTGCAGTTATGTTTTTGATTTATGCAGATTTTAATTTATCCCAAACTTATAGTCTGAACATGTATTTCTACCATTATGTAAACTGGGTACATATGTACCAAACAATAAAACTGTTTTGTAAAATTTGTAAAAACAATCTGATTAAATGTAGAATTTTGATTCCTATTTCAATTGCTTGAGATTAATTCTTGTACCTGCTGAATAAACTGTATTGTGATGGTGTATTAGGTTTATATGAAGTTATTTTTACCATAAGGCTATTTACATTGTATTAATTTAACCTTGAGAATGAACTTTACACCTGTTTTCATATTTTGTATCATAAAATCTTTCAATAATACTCTCCTCATACATGACATAGGTAGATCTTAAGAAAACTATCTGATGGAAAATTAATTCATTCAGCCATGTATTGATCATATTTTTACTTCATATATCATGTTTATAATGTATATCTTGCAGTAAACACTTAGTATTTACAAGTAAAATGTTCCTCTATCGGTCGTTGTAGAGGAAGTACACTTTAAACATCCGTTGGATGTAAAAAAGTATAATTAAAAAAATATATATGTCAATGAGTAAATGATTAATAGTTGAATTGTAATTTATAAGTTGCACACATCAGTTATAATCGAAATTTTTAAATATAGTCATAGTACCAGAGCAGCTATTTCTATGGTGAACATTTTTTATGATGATTTCTTATCCAGGAACTTTTCACTAATATATCGACCTTATGCAAGTGCATGTATGCATGTACATGTATAAGATTTTGATTGATTTTTGAACATTCAAATACGAAATAAAAGATGAATTTTGGTCTGTTTTGTAGGTTTTTATATATCAATATACAAATAAGGAGATGTGGTATGATTGCTAATGAGAGAACTATCCACCAAAGTTCAAATGAAGTGGAAATAAGCAATTATAGGCAACCGTACAGCCTTCAACAATGAGAAAATCCCATACTGTATAGTCGGCTATAAAAGGCCCACTAAACTCAATTTTCAACCAGTTACAGGCTTTGCACAGAGTTTTTTTTAACCCAAAATAAGTTAACAGATGTATTGATATTTATTTGCATAAGGTCGATTTCTATCTGACGCAGCTCATATATTAGTTGTTGTAACTGCTACCTAAACTGGTTCTGTGAAATAATGTGACAGAATTAATCACTTTATTTGTTGACGGATTACAAATAGTGAATTTTAATTCATGTTAAACAAATGTATAATACTAAAACCACTTTTAGGGAAAACATGCTGTTTTCCAGCTTGTGACCCAAAAAATCCTGACCATCTGATACTGAAATTGACTTTTCAGTTTTATAGGATATGTAATAAGGTATATGGTTCTTATAAGGAGTTATTAATAGATTGATTGGTGTGCGCTGATCAATTACCAGCTGCAAGTATTACATGCATATATAAAGGACAATAACATAATAAACATGTAAATATCATATTGGTATGATATATCCTACTTTGTACATACTAAAGGTGATTATTTATGTGCTAACTCCTTAATGCCATGTCAAAAGATACAACTCATCATCTGATTTTCATGAATAAGGCAGTTGGTTTTAATAGGGAGTAGGATTTTATAACTCTGCCATAGTACCTGGGTTCATTCCAATGCAGACATCAGTTTGTTTTTCCTTGACACACATTATTATTCTGACTCAAAACTGACCAATCCTTGCTTAGTACATGAGTTCACTCCAATGCAGACATCAGTTTGTTTTTCCTTGGCACATTATTATTCTGACTCAAAACAGACCAATCCTTGCTTAGTACCTGAATTCACTCCAATGCAGACATCAGTTTGTTTTTTTCCTTGGCATATTATTATTCTGACTCAAAACGGACCAATCCTTGCTTAGTACCTGAGTTCACTCCAATGCAGACATCAGTTTGTTTTTCCTTGGCACACAATATTATTCTGACTCAAAACGGACCAATCCTTGCTAAGTACCTGAGTTCACTCCAATGCAGACATCAGTTTGTTTTTCCTTGGCACACAATATTATTCTGACTCAAAACAGACCAATCCTTGCTAAGTACCTGAGTACCTGAGTTCACTCCAATGCAGACATCAGTTTGTTTTTCCTTGGCACACAATATTATTCTGACTCAAAACGGACCAATCCTTGCTAAGTACCTGAGTTCACTCCAATGCAGACATCAGTTTGTTTTTCCTTGGCACACAATATTATTCTGACTCAAAACAGACCAATCCTTGCTAAGTACCTGAGTTCACTCCAATGCAGACATCAGTTTGTTTTTCCTTGACACACATTATTATTCTGACTCAAAACGGACCAATCCTTGCTTAGTACCTGAATTCACTCCAATGCAGACATCAGTTTGTTTTTTTCCTTGGCACATTATTATTCTGACTCAAAACGGACCAATCCTTGCTTAGTACCTGAGTTCACTTCAATGCAGACATCAGTTTATTTTTCCTTGGCACATTATTATTCTGACTCAAAACGGACCAATCCTTGCTTAGTACCTGAATTCACTCCAATGCAGACATCAGTTTGTTTTTTTCCTTGGCATATTATTATTCTGACTCAAAACGGACCAATCCTTGCTAAGTACCTGGGTTCACTACAATGCAGACATCAGTTTGTTTTTCCTTGGCACACATTATTATTCTGACTCAAAACGGACCAATCCTTGCTTAGTACATGAGTTCACTCCAATGCAGACATCAGTTTGTTTTTCCTTGACACACATTATTATTATGACTCAAAACGGACCAATCCTTGCTTAGTACCTGAGTTCACTCCAATGCAGACATCAGTTTGTTTTTCCTTGACACACATTATTATTCTGACTCAAAACCGACCAATCCTTGCTTAGTACCTGAGTTCACTTCAATGCAGACATCAGTTTGTTTTTCCTTGACACACAATATTATTCTGACTCAAAACTGACCAATCCTTGCTTAGTACATGAGTTCACTCCAATGCAGACATCAGTTTGTTTTTCCATGGCACATTATTATTACGACTCAAAACAGACCAATCCTTGCTTAGTACCTGAGTTCACTTCAATACAGACATCAGTTTGTTTTTCCTTGACACACATTATTATTCTGACTCAAAACCGACCAATCCTTGCTTAGTACCTGAGTTCACTTCAATGCAGACATCAGTTTGTTTTTCCTTGACACACAATATTATTCTGACTCAAAACTGACCAATCCTTGCTTAGTACCTGAGTTCACTTCAATGCAGACATCAGTTTGTTTTTCCTTGACACACAATATTATTCTGACTCAAAACTGACCAATCCTTGCTTAGTACATGAGTTCACTCCAATGCAGACATCAGTTTGTTTTTCCATGGCACATTATTATTACGACTCAAAACAGACCAATCCTTGCTTAGTACCTGAGTTTACTTCAATACAGACATCAGTTTGTTTTTCCTTGACACACATTATTATTCTGACTCAAAACCGACCAATCCTTGCTTAGTACCTGAGTTCACTTCAATGCAGACATCAGTTTGTTTTTCCTTGACACACAATATTATTCTGACTCAAAACTGACCAATCCTTGCTTAGTACATGAGTTCACTCCAATGCAGACATCAGTTTGTTTTTCCTTGACACACAATATTATTCTGACTCAAAACAGACCAATCCTTGCTTAGGACCTGAGTTCACTCCAATGCAGACATCAGTTTGTTTTTTTCCTTGGCACATTATTATTCTGACTCAAAACGGACCAATCCTTGCTTAGTACCTGAGTTCACTCCAATGCAGACATCAGTTTGTTTTTCCTTGACACACAATATTATTCTGACTCAAAACTGACCAATCCTTGCTTAGTACCTGAGTTCACTTCAATGCAGACATCAGTTTGTTTTTCCTTGACACACAATATTATTCTGACTCAAAACAGACCAATCCTTGCTTAGTATCTGAGTTCACTCCAATGCAGACATCAGTTTGTTTTTCCATGGCACATTATTATTCTGACTCAAAACTGACCAATCCTTGCTTAGTACTTGAGTTCACTTCAATGCAGACATCAGTTTGTTTTTCCATGGCACATTATTATTCTGACTCAAAACTGACCAATCCTTGCTTAGTACCTGAGTTCACTTCAATGCAGACATCAGTTTGTTTTTCCATGGCACATTATTATTCTGACTCAAAACGGACCAATCCTTGCTTAGTACCTGAGTTCACTTCAATGCAGGCATCAGTTTGTTTTTCCTTGGCACATTATTATTCTGACTCAAAACCGACCAATCCTTGCTTAGTACCTGAGATCTCCAATGCAGACATCAGTTTGTTTTTCTTGGCACACATTATTATTCCGACTCAAAACGGACCAATCCTTGCTTAGTACCTGAGTTCACTTCAATGCAGACATCAGTTTGTTTTTTCCTTGGCACATTATTATTCTGACTCAAAACTGACCAATCCTTGCTTAGTACCTGAGTTCACTTCAATGCAGACATCAGTTTGTTTTTTCCTTGGCACATTATTATTCTGACTCAAAACCGACCAATCCTTGCTCTTTAAATATCATAAATACATACTTACAATGTAGCTAGGATAGAAGCAGCATTTTTTCAATTTTAAAGGCATTGCTTTTTCTCAGCCAGTGATTGAACTCACAACTATCCTGAGGCAAACAGGGTTCTTCAAGACTAAACAGAGTGGTTAGTAAGAAATTAATATTTCAAACCAAATTAATGACTACCAGAAGAATCATTTTGTGGTGCAGTTATTTAGTTTTGATATTCTGAAGGGAGAGCATGTAAAGCTGAACATGAAATAACTTTTTATTTTTTTTTGGGGGGAGGGGGGATTTGCAGCTTCCAAAAGGAAAGGTGGGATTTATTCATGCCTTCCAATTTGATCCAAATTTATCATTTTATTGAAATATTTTATTTTTTCAGAATTCAAAAATTAATAAAACATCATATTATTGAATGCCATATTTGGTAACTGGTAGATGTGTAGATTTGCACTTATCATTATTAAAATCTTTGATAAATATATATATATATAGTTGTTTTGTTTGTAGTCATACATCATCATTTCATCATTTAATGAAATAGGACAATGTGATTTTTTATTACTTCAATTGTTTTCTTACTTGGTTATCAAATATGTCACTTGGCTTTTTAAGTGCTTTATACATTGTAAACTACATTCTTGGTCATAACAGACAATTGATGTGACTTTTCACCCCATAAAACTTTTCTTTTATTTGATATTTTATCATTCCATTTTACTTTTTATGCATATATGGGTTAATAATTATATGTCACAATTAACTTGACCCAGTTGACAAATACACTTAACAAAATATGAAATAAAAATTTAAGGATTAAATGAGTAGACCTTTTGAAATCATGAGACAAACTACATGTACATGTATTTTGACTGAACCTGTTTTTCAGAAGAGAGAAGTAAGTATAAACCCTAGATTTGTAAAATAAAAACATACAGCATTGTCAGAGTGAATCATGCCATTGATATCAGGGAGCCATATATACAGATGATTTTAGGCATTGTACCACTTAAAGAAAACATACTATTCATAGCTTCCATTTTAAGTGAGGCTTTTGTCTTTAGAGTATTGAAATTAGTAACATTGGGTGTAGATATGTCATGTTTTAAATGGACTTCCCAATGTAGAATTTAGCAAATGTTTTAAAGGAATTGATCTCTATTCTAACCTTTGCCTTGCAAAAAGTAACTGCTTTATTTAATTTTAGTTAAAGTTTTTTATTCATCAATGAAAATTGAAATAAGCTTCAACAATGCACAACTATCTGCATTTAGCTAGACAAAAACACTACACTGTCACTGATTCTTAAACATCAATTCACTCTGACTACACTGTAAGCTTTTAGTAGGCTAGTTATTGTGGAAAAATATTCCACATTTTCAGAACTAAAATATGAGAGAATATGTTAGTTTATTGATCTAATATCTCAGTTTGCACTTAAAATGCACCCCTGCTAGCACAGCAAGCTAATTACACATTCTAAGAAAAGCTTGGACTTCGTCGAACTAACCTTAATGAAACAGTGAATGAAATTCACCTGTCCTGTTGTTAGCATTTCAGTTTTTGAGCTTCCTATTGGACAATGTTTTATAGTAGTTTTTGCTCTTTATTGACGATTTTTATCAATTTTTATGCTCTCTGCCATAGCGGAGGGGGCATTAAGTTTTACCCTTGTCCGTCTGTACGTTGTACGTCCCAAAATTGGTTTCCATTCTCTAACTTAAGTTTGCCTCAACTAAATGTTATGAAATTTATACGCAATGCTTATTACCACAAAACACAGAAAACTTGAATTTTGGTGGCGTCACTTTTACCGTTCTAGAGTTATGCCCCTTTACAAAAAGAAAAATTGCTGAATTTTTCGTTTCTGTTCTTTAACTTTAGTTTGCCTCAACCAAATGTTATGAAACTTATACACAATGCTTATTACCACAAAACACAGATCAAGTTTGAATTTTGGTGGCGTCACTTTTACAGTTCTAGAGTTATGTCCCTTTACAAATAAAAAAAATGCTGAAATATTCGTTTCCGTTTTCTAACTTAAGTTTGCCCTAACTAAATGTTATGAAACTTCTAAACAATGCTTATTACCACAAAACTCAAATCAAGTACAAATTTGGGTAGTGTCACTTTTACAGTTCTTGAGTTATGTCCCTTTATAACGCTATATGCAAGCGGGGGCATCATCTGTGTTCCATGGACACTTTCCCCATTTATTTTTTTCAAATTTAGCTTTTATCTTTGATTCAATAATAGATAAAGTGAAATTATAAATGGCAAAAATAATGGTAAGAACAAGCCTGTAAAAAAAGTCCAATGGACGAAACCTTCAGGCAACTCCTGTGTTATTGTAGAAACTATAGTAGATAGAGAGAAACTGTATTTAGCAAAAGATCAGCAGGATAGTGCCAACAAATAAGACAACTGGCTGAAATCATCAGTGGAACCCTTATAGAAGTTATTGCCCTTGAAAGACTTAAAAAATACTAAAAAAGATCAGCTATAAAAATATTTGGTCACACATTTCTCCATTACTCATGTACAGAATGACTACATATTTAGTCAGCAGCTCAACAGTGAGGAGTTGTAACATGAGATCACTTTTCGAATATGTCAGGATACCTATTGCATCTCTTTCGATACTCTGAATTTCTAGTGGGGTATGTGTTCATTCTTGTTTTTGATAAATCGGATGATGCAGTCTGGTCACATTAGTGAAGACATTTTGTAATATAATGTTAAGTAATAGGATTTAGTTTAGCAAATTGGTTTGTTAACTATTTCCTTTTATTACAGGAAATGCTTCAATTTGTATTAACCACATGCTGGAGTCATATCATGCTTATTCGGCTAGGCTTTGTATCTACCTTTATTGCTCTACCCTTCGTCTCTATCACTCTGTTCTCCATAAAATTGCATATCACATCTTTGTGATGTCAAATATGTTTGACCTTGCCATAATAACTTTGACCCTGACCTATCAGCAACACCCTAATGTTTGAGCTGACATTGATAATTTTTACCAAAACCTATTGGATCCTTGTCCAGTTTGCTGGTAAGAAAAAGAAAACCTCCTGTTTCTATCTGGAAAAACATACATGAACAATCTGATAAATTGATTGTCACATTTTTATTACATTGATGTCAAAAAATATCAGCTGCTCAACACAATATGAAGCCTTTTTTAATTAGTTTGCTGTGCTTACTTGATAAAAAGCTTCATATTATGACTCCAGCTGATATTTTATATTATTGCTATTTTGTGTATTTTTGTGATAATTTTTCATATCATGCTACTCACTTGAGATATGAAATTATCGCTAGAAAATAAGGGAGCACGTCCCGTTGTCAATATAAAAATCAATGACGTCATCGGCAAAATAGCAATAAACAGATTAACAATGGTCTTTCAAGCTCGATGATGTTCCTCTGCCCTTCAATGAGATTGTAGCTGAGAAACACCCTCTCGTTTGAAAAACTATCAAAGTATCGATACAAGTATACAAAAAAGCTGACACTGGATTTATTATTATTTGTTAATTACCAATTGTCGTGGATTTTGTGGTAACAGATAATAAATTTAATTGTTATACCTTACATTATATAGTACCGGTAATTATTTGATTGGCTAATACTGAATCACGTGTCATAGTTTAATTTCAATGTTTTTCCAAAAATTGGCAGGAGCGATGAATAACCCCGACAAATTGAAGCCTCCATCGAAACAACCTTATTGTTCCTCTGTGAATAATCTTTTCAGCCCCTTGGTTATCTCCCATAAATAATGACGTCATTGACGCCTGTTAACAAAATGGCAACGGCCAGGTAAGAAGCCCATCAAGTAACAACGAAACAAGATCAAACAAGGCTTGGAAAATCATCTAGTTCCGAGGATATCTCTCTTTAACAGTTCTTTTCAGGGCCATCAATATTTTTGAGAAAGAGTCTACCTTTGTTGTACATACTAGAAATTCTTAGACACAAGATAATTTTCTAAGGAATGTGTTTTGACAATCTTTTTTTTCTCCCGTAAGGCAATATTTTACACTTATTTGTTTGTTCTGTATAATAAAACAGTTATGGCCCATTGAGTCGGTGAATATCCAAAATTGTCAACAAGAGTAAGGGTTGACAATATTGGATATTCACTTCCTCAGAGGGCCATAATTGTATAATGTTCAACAAATTACAAATTTTCCAAAGGGTTGTATGCAGACTTTGGCAAAACCATGAAATTAAATATCCATGAAGATGCAAATGTTCCTCAATCCATGAAAATTGATACCAAGGAAAATAAATGAATCCATAGTAATCGGTACATGTTTGACCTTGTCCAGGCAATAAATTCTTCACCAATTGTCTCATGAGATTTGACCTGTTGATAAATCACCTAGTTATTTTCACTGTTTACCCTTTCCCTGACCATGACTTGTAATGTTACACATGATTGCTTTTTTGTGTCTGGTTTTTTTCATACCCTGTGTCTTATAAATGGAATTCCAGAGCTCAAATGAATGAAAATAAATTACTTATGAATAAAAGGATATGTGGGTCATACAACAATGAGACAGTAACCCAATGACGAAAATAACCAAAAGACATTTTGAGGGCAACATAAAGTCTCAATAGTAGACACCTGTCTATACAAGCTTTAAAATGTCCATAAATTACACATAAACAAATAAAAAAGTGCCATATACACTTTAATTCTCAAAATGACCACCAAAAAAAATATGACAAAAGAAAACAATGACAAGGTTCTTTGGAAAGTCACATGAATAGGAATAATTGTTATAATTCATAGTGCCTATATACTAAAACCAATATCTAATTTTAATATTTTGTGGTGTTAACTAAAAAGTAACTAAATCTTAACTGTTTTTTGTTTTGGTTTGTCAGTTTAAATAAAGGCTTTTGTTTATCATCTTATTAGTTTTTTTAATAATTTTTATATATAGTATCATCTAAAATGTAGAACACGTTTTATTGTATATTTTGCTGGTTATGATATTTTGTATACATAATGATTGTGTGCATGTGTCAGGGAAAATTTTGTAATTACAAAGATTAAAATGCATCAAATTATAAGAGAAAGAAAAGAAAGAGACATATGACACATCACTAAATTTAATTCATACATATGTGTAACATTTTTACTCTGAAGATCATCTGACAATTTTGATTTGTATTAAATAAATTGTAACAATAGACATCGGTATAATTTACTTAATCTGACATTCTTCTTTCAGTCAGAGAAGAAGGAGACAAAGTGTTAAAGGAACCAGAAATAAAATTCCAAGATTTCCAAAGAAACCAGAGATTATGGCAAGGGATATGGATAAAAGAAAGGTAACAAGCTGTTCTAAAATCCCAATAAAATTCATGTTCAGGGTAATAGATAATTTTCACAATGAATAAACTAATATACATGTAGATCATTATTTTTAGTGTCAGTGTGTAGGAGATGCAGCTGATTATTATTCACCCTGCAATCCCCTTATCAGATCAGGGGAATCAGCTGGTCGAAAAACATGGCCATCTTAAATCTAATTAAATGTAGTTCTCCAGTCCATGCTGCCACATGAAAAATTCAAAAGCAGTGAGGTGCAAGTGCAGATGAACTTATTTTAATTAGATTGGGCCAACTTTATCATATGTGAACAGTAACTACATAGCTGGTTCAAACAATTTATTTTGTAACCTGACCTTTATTTTTTTGTTCAGCAAAATGAATTATACATATTGTAAAACTTTATTCCTAGACAGTCAACATATTTAGTTGTAATCAATAAAGTAGGTAAGATAGATCAACTTGTTTACAGAATATAAATGGGGAAAATAGCATATCCGTTTAAACTGAAAAATAAGAGCACATGTGGTTTGATTGCTTACGGGACAACAATTCATTAGAGACAAAATGATGTAGATGTTGGAATCCAAGATTGTTTTTAATAAATAATGTGTTATCCACCAACTTTTTAACATTGTGATAAAGGTACCATCGCAGCTGTACAAGATCCTCATAGCTTCTGTTTTTTTTTCATTAACAAAAATTATAATGAAATCAAGAATAACTTATATGGTAATTTCCATTGAGATAAACTTTATAATTAGCTTGGATAAATATAACGATGAAGATATAAATGCTAACACTAAATTTGATAGGCTTTAAATCATGTAAATAAGATATCTACTAGTCATATAAATGTGTGCAATAGCATTGTGTCTGACATATAAACCCTACACAAGTACATACATTTGATCCTCACATCACATCTATCAAACAATAAACTTTTCTTTATTATATATATTCTGTAAATTCAGAAAATTTTGTGATGTTTTTATTTTTGCGAAAACTGCGATGAGATAGGTGTGGCAAAAATAGAAACTCACATTTTAAATTTTTGATAGCATTGTTTTTATGCAGCATTTTCTAAAATCGCAATAATTAATCACCCATTTGTGTCCTTTGTCCAATAATAAATGCATGCAGTAATTTCTAATCTATTAATTTTACAGAACTATTTAGAAGATTATTTACAGAACCTTGTGAATATAAACGTCTACAGAAATCATCATGAAACAGTAAGTTAACCATTCATTGACTGTCTGTGGCCTTTTATGTAATCTGTAAAATGATAGGCTATTAAATTATAGATAAAACAGATCTCAACCAAATTGGTGACTGTGTGTACATTGTCAGTTTAAAACTACAAAGTCATTTGGGATGATGTTTACAAGGTAATTTGATATATTTGATTTACTGATATCAATTTACTATTACATAATATATCATTTGTAAACCATTGGGGGAATAAAAATGTTATTTAAATCAGCTTTATTGGTTTTTTTTTGTCTTTTTTTATTGTGAAAACAGTTGGGAATATTATGGTTTATAACACAAGACAATAATAGGTGATGATTTAAAACAAAGATGAACTATTTAGAAATAAATGAATATTTGCTAATGTAGCTTTTATTGCTTTTAAGCATACTCTGTACTAAAGCATTGTAAAAGTATAGCTGAGATCATTTTTAAATACCAAACATGCTTAAAACTTTCAGAAATGAACAGATCTATCAATTAAACTTTTACCTATATAGTCAAATATTGCTCATGTTTATTTTTCATTTGAAATTTAACAGAATTTTCACCAGAATTTTGCGTTAAATGAGCTTACAAGTAAAAGTAGCATGAGGTACTACAGTTTTTGAAAAAAAGACATGTATAGTATTGAAGATAAAATAGAGAAGAATTTATAATAATTCTCACAGCAAAATTACCGGTAAGACACTGTGATATACTTTTTTTTACCTTGCTGATTGTCAGTAAGATAAATATTTCAGGTGTCATTTGATTAATGAATTATTCAAGCAACAAACTCTGAAAATATTTAATTTTTAGTTCAAACTACTACTTAAAGAAAGCAGATTACCAAATTTTCTAGATTTTTTTGTCATAACTTGGAAGTTTCACAAGTAACATAAGTGTCAATTACTACAAAGTTTCATATTTTGTTATTTCAGTTAAAGTTTTTAGAAGTAAGTCAGCTGTCATTTGTTAAAAAGCTGGGTAAGAAATGGCGAGAGGGAGCTATCAGGAAGTGTTCTGGTGGACGAAGGATCAGTATAGGCTGTTGTGGATGTCTGAAAAAATTCCACTTCGCTGGAAACTGGAAGAAAAGGTAATAAAGATCTGTTTTCTAAATTATTGAGGAAATGGATTTCAGATTTTATGGTTGCAAAAAGTTCTAATGCTAGTGGTAGTTTAATAGTAGTATAACAATACACAGATCTTTTGAAATATTATATGTAATTATATGACATGGCACTAACAGAAATTCACACCTTTTCTTCTATTTTATTGCATTTTAAAGGAAATTGTTTCTACATGTTTTAGATGGAAATTGTTCTCTTTTTTTCCAGCTGAAATATTAACATTCATATTAGGATTGAAAAAAGATTTATTTATGATTTCATATTATAAAACAGCAAATGTAGACAAAATAAAATAAGTGTTAAGTTCAATATGTATGGTTTCTAGATTTAAGTCAATTGTTTTGTTCATTTTTACTTGAAGATGGTTAGTTGTCAAAGACTCCTTCGTTGCTTACATCCGTCCAAGAGATGGTTTTGTATGTGATGTCATGCTGATGGACACAGATTTTAAAATTGACATAGGAATGGGTGCAACTGGTGCTCCACATGGTTTAATGATTAGTAATTTATCAAGGTAAGTTGATACAGAAATGGGTGCAGTTGGTGCTCCATATGGTTTACTAATTAGTAATCTTTCAAGGTAAATTGATATAGAAATAGGTCCAGTTGGTGCTCCACCATGATATATTGAAAAATGAATACTAAGTACTAAGGAAGTATTAGAAGTTGAAACTCCTAAATTGCATGCATGAGAACTATAAGCTGTCAGATTCAAATCCTGACAGTATACAAAAAGTGGTAACTGAATTCTGGGTGAATGGGCCTCTCAAGGCCTACTGATTAATAATTATCACAGTAGGAACTCAACTTCATTTAAAGACTTTTCAATATTGAATAAGAAATTTGTATCCAAAGCCCCACTGAAAAAAAATGAACTGTTTGTAATAATATACCATTCTTGACAAACTACAATCAATTATATATCATGCAGTTTTATTTACTTTTAGTGCAAATCTTTAATAAGGTAAACATTTTATTTTCAATTCATTAACTTATTTAAATTTTATATTTAATATATTACACTTAGTGTTTTACAATATAACTTTCACTTTCTTGTTAGATTTGAAGCTATGCTTTATTGTGGCAGTATTATATAAGGCTATACGAGGGGTGGACAGCTTTTGAGGGAGGTGGGGGCGGGAGGTGGGAGAAGGGCACCCCCCTGTCCACCCCCTCCTATACGGCTGCTTACAATATATGTGCAAGATAGGTTATTGTACCATTTAACACAGTTAGGATCTAAACCACAATATTAAAGCATTTTATTGTTTTAGTTATAAAATTTTCAAGGTCCTCTGATCAAACATTAAGACTTACTTGAATACTATGTATTAACATTGATTTTCTTATTTGCAGGAATTTATTAGCTAAATGTTGGACAAGTAGAAAAGCTGAGGAATGGAAAGCTAGTATAGAAACAGCTGTATCTACTGGGATGGGGAGTGACTACACACAGAAAAACAGATTTAATTCATTTGCACCTGTAAGAGAAAAGTCATATGCTAAGTGGTAAGGATTTAAAAATATATATACATATGTATTTACTAAGGAATATGAAAATGGTTGTAAGTTTTTCTCTCAAGAGATAACTTAAGAAAAATATAATTTTGTTATTTTTTTTCTGCTGTCCAAGAAATGTCACACAAAATGATATGACGTATTAAGAGTAGCAAGAGTACTAGAATAGTCAAAAGCTAAATTCGAAGGGAAAAACTATTAAAATTATATTATTGCCCCTATGCAATAAAAGTTTGATACTTTAAAGAAACAGCAAGAATTATAGAAATATGTATCGATTTACTATAGTATTTGAATTTGTGGTAAAATGGTATATACTAAAATGGTAAATATATTTTTAAAAGTCATTGATCTTTAATAATGAAACCATTTAATGAATTATACTGCAGCTGGTACATCATTGGTGGCATAGGTCATTATATAGAAATTATATTGAACAGTGAATATTATTCAGTTGTGTTTCTGGTCTTGATATTGATATATGACAGAATAGTTTATTGAATTATGAGCTGTTCCTTTTAACAATATCTGGGTTTATGAGAGGCGATTGCATAAAAGTTTAATGGGTGGTTTTGTAGGCTTCAGATATTAAAAGTGCCTTCAGAGTTCTCTGTAGGCTTCAGATAAAGTGCCTTCAGAGTTCTCTGTAGTATTTAACCATGGCTTGAAATTTCATAATTAGATATAAGAAGATGTGGTATGAGTGCCAATGAGACAACTCTCCATCCAAGTCAAAATTTATAAAAGTAAACCATTATAGGTCACAGTACGGTCTTCAACACGGAGACTTTGCTCACACCGAACAGTAAGCTATAAAGGGCCCCAAAAATTACTAGTGTAAAACCATTCGAACGGGAAAAACCAACGGTCTAATCTATATAAAAAACTAGAAACGAGAAACACTTATGAACCACACCAACAAACGACAACTACTGAACATCAGATTCCTGACTTAGGACAGGTGCAAACAAATGCAGTGGGTTTAAACGTTTTAATGGTACCAAACCTTCACCCTTTTTCTGAAACAATAGTGTAACATCACAACATAGAAAGAAACTCTATAAAATATCAACTGAAATAGCTTAACTCAATCAAAGGACATATTAACACCATTGAACATACACTGAACAAATAAATTTGACATATGATAAATTGCCTACTTTCTTATAAGCACATGGAATATAAGTAAACGTAAAGACTATTATGAATAGAGTAAAAAAAATGTGTCTGGGTAGAGAGACATGTCTTTCTGTGACTTTTACCTTGTTAACTACTATTTTTAAAATTGGGATAAGCGTGTCTGTTTCCTTAAATGAACATACTGATATTTTGTAAAAAGATTTTTCTGAATTTGATGTTACAAAATTAGTAATTTTTTTAGGATTTTCCGCATAGCCGTGTTTTGCTGGTGATTTGATAGTAGATATATCTGTACCATCATGATCAAACTTATTCTGCATGTAATAAATCATTAACTATTTCCATGTGGATTTTCTTGTTCATTACATTGGGATGTTATCACTGTATATATACAGAGTATATAGGTCCAATATAGTAGTATATTAATTTATATCAATCTATATGAAAATGAAGGTTATCAATAAAGGTCATATATAGGTCATCTTTCTAATATGGAATTAGATTGCAAGAAATTTTTTAGTATTTCCTTATTTTAAGCATGATACAAAAATAATGAGATGTGGTATGATTGCCAATGAGACAACTATCCATCAGAGATACATACTTTAGGGACTTGAATGTATATAATGGCATATTTCTTGTAAGATCAAACTGGTATAACTAATGTAATTATTTGTTTTATGGAAATATCTGGAAATCATCTATTTCCTTTGGTATTGGACGGCAGGTCATGACAAATATGATCATCATGTTAGAATCAGCGCTGGATGATAAGTCAATTATAATTCAATCAGTATGCTGTAGGTCTATGTCAGGTCATCAGAATATAGGCTAAAAAATTACCTTGTCTGTATATTGCTTAATATCTTTGGTAATCAATCAAATGTTATATTGTCTAAACAAAGTTTAGTGCACAGATGTTTAATTAGCATTTCAACAACTTGACAACTGTAACTGAATCCATATTATAAGCAATTTATCCTGCAATTAGTTGTCTTATCATAACAGCACAACAGATATCGCTAGCTTGTATTTGTATACTATCCAGATATCACTTAAAAGCTCCGCCCACTGCCGGACTATCTTTGTGCATTGCTGTTGACGAGTGTTGTATGAACTTTCGTGACCTTAGAATGTGTATTGCAATCACATTCCAATGACATATTGCTCCGTCTGTGAATGTTCCAGTCTCCGATCCGCAACCCACTTTCTGCTCATAGACAAACATGAACAGCAGGATTAACTCCATTTTCTACGGCGCCAATCTTCAAGTTCAAAACTTGAATTTATAAAAATGTAGCACACAAAATCAACCATGCAACAATGTCAACAATCAGTGAATGCACTGATAGTTCAAAATTCTGAAGCGTAGGACAAATCAAACACTTTTGTCTTAAATTGGACAATGTTTTGTTTTTTCTTTTTACGGTTGAAATTAGTTGTTTAATTATTAACTTTGAGCGATGTATTTTTGTTGGCCATGCGAGATTCTTTTTGGCGTTCAAGTCATCAGCTGATTGTGTGATTTTTTTTAAATATTACTACGTGGGCCTCAAAGCATTTTAAATGGAGAAAAAAATGCAATAAATGTGAGTTTTTCTGACTTTCAAAGCAAAAAAAATGTACAAAATTAATTGCAGACTGAAGCTCGCATTACACCTGTTTCTTAGCCTCGTACAAATACAGCTGATATTTAAAGACACTAATCAGTTATTGTCTATATATCCGTTATTCAGCATCCATTCATTTGGATTGTATGCAGTATTTAAGGCTCCATCCCCCTTGGTCATGCTCCAGTGACTTCAAATTTAATTGTTTACTTTTCAGATTAGGTGTAGAAGCATTTGAAATAGATAATTGATATATGTAAAGTTGTTGCATTAACATTCGAAAACTTCTGTTCAGGAATAAAAATGAATTTCTGTCCCTTAAACATGCTTCAGTGACACTGAATTTTTGCATTGTTCATATGATTAGACATATTTATTAAGAAGTACTTTAGCTTGAACATTGATATTTGGTTTGATGTTTACGCCATCCTTCATTTCATTTTCAGATTGCCAGAGCGTTAGACTCAACTTTACAGTAATGCACACACAGAATGCATTTTTTCATTGCTCAAATGTTTAACTTTTTATACATATTCTAAAGTGCTTGCAATAGGCCATTATATATGTCCTTAGCAAGGATCCAGTTATCCAGTGGCTTTAGTGCTTGCTGTCTGACATATTTGTTTTTTCTTCATTTTTGTAGTATAAACCATTGTTTTTCTCTTCCTAATTGTTTCATATTATGTGATACCAGGGCCCTTTATAGATAATTCTATATATTATAAGTTTTGCTCCTTGACAATGACCTGTAATTGTTCATATCTTTGTTCTTTGTTCTCTGGTTGATTTTTGTCTCATTTGCAAACATACCACACACCCTTATTTTTATACCCTTATTTTTATACATGTATATACCTTGTAACTTTTGTAGGTTTATTGATGGTAGTTCATACTTTAGTGCTGTAGCAGAAGCCTTAGAGAGTGCCAAAGAGGAAATATTTATCACTGACTGGTGGTAAGTTTATTGTGTGCTTTAGGGTATGATACCTGAAATACAGGAATATTTTCACAGCTGAAACCTATACACTATAAATATAGAGGTTTTTTTCTTTATTTATTTTTTTTTTGGAGGATGAAATAATCTTGTCATATTGTATTTAGGTTCTCCTTTTATGTTGTTAAGAGATAAAAGATGCATTGATCAATTTAGTGATAAAGTGCAACATGCTACTTGATTCAGTTCATATTCTTTCCTATACTTCCTACTCAGTGGTCTATATATCCTGATTGTTTATCTGTTTTGTAGGATTTAGCATGGTTTATCAGACTTCAAACAATTGTTTATTGTTACATATATAAATGACATCTACAATTTCAGCAACCCGTTGCAGTTTGTACTTGAAAGTGTTATTAGTTGATTTAAGATTTGAAAAAAAACACATATCCTCCCACGAAATATTGTACAAGCTGGTGCACTCTGAGGCTAATAGGAGTATAATCTATATAAATGGATCAAGCTTCATCAGTTATAATTATTAAGTTGAATGACTAATAATCAATCAATATTACCTGTGTCTACCTGGACCAGATCAAAGGTTTAAATGAATAAAAATGAATTATAAAATAATTTTAATGCTGAATTGTGGTTGATGCTTGTAAAGAGAAAAGGATATTAGTATTATTTGCTTTGTTGTTATAAATGATTTATTAATTTTAAAAAGATTAAATTCCTGGGACAGTGAGTTGTCAGTTTTCAAGTGCATATCAGTCAAACTTTTATAGAATAAACAAGTGATAATGCTAGGAAAATCAATCAGAAATTGCAATTGATTGAAAACCTACCAGAAATACACAGATACTTGGCAAATTAGAAATGTGTACATATATATATATATGTAGAAACAGGTTCAAAAAGGGTACAAAGGTCAATTAATTTATCATAGCATTAGTTTCAAGCGTGTTAAAGATTTGATAAACATGCCAGCTAGATTTTAACAACACCCATTGTTGTTAAATTGTGAAATATCTTAGCCAATCAAAACAAAGCTTGGGTTTCCTGCAGGAGAAATATGAATACAAGGAGATGTGGGACATATCACAATCAACCCAACAGCATGACATCTAGAGTATGTAGGGATAAGGGAACATTTTATGATATTAGTTTATGGTGAAAACTGAAAAGGAATAAAAATAAAGTTTAGCTCATTGTTCAAGGCTGTACTGTGACCTATAGTTGTTAACTTCTATGTCATTTGGTCTCTGGTGGAGAGTTGTCTCACTGGCAATCATACCATATCTTCTTATTTTTATTATAAGAAAATGTGAAATAAACTTTGAATTCCTCATGCTAACAAACCTGAATATCAGACTAAAACAGCAATTAATCGTGATTGGATAAGAAATTAATACAATAAAATGAATTACCGTATTTATCTTGTCTGTTAAAGGGGAAGTTTATTACATTTATTTGACAAGTTGTGCATTGAAAAATCAATTTAAGGTGTTTGATTTTTCTGGAGTGGTGTTTATTTAAAAAATTAATCTGTGGTTTTAAATTGACATCAAATTCCATAGAAAAACAATGAATTTAAAGAGAACTGAGTCAATAGTGCCAGTATTACGTAAGATGAGAGAATTAAGGCCAGAATGAAAAGCAGATCCTGATTGAAATTGACATGGATTGAAACATTTATAATCTCCAAACAAAGGATAAGGTCTAATTGATCTCTGGTCTCAAAATGAAGACACATTAATTTTAATACACTGCACTCAAGTGACCAGATTATTTAATCCTATTGATTGAGACAAAGAAATTGACATGATTTTACTATTTTTGGAATTTCAGGGACCAATTATTGACACTCAACATACCTCCTCCTTTTTGGTCAAATATGGGCCTTATTGTGCCTACTGTTTTGTTAATAAGGTAGCAAGTCTTTATTCAGATAAAAATTATCTGCATTTATCAACATTGCTGATATGATTGATGTGTATTTAGAAATATTTGAAATTCAGGTCTTGCATATTTAGTTACAATTGAATTACTGAACAAATGTCAAAACAATGATAACATTTTTACAGACTGTTTATATAAATCAGGTAGATTATAATATTAACACATGTACAGTTGTCTAGCAGCTGTATAAATTCTGACAAAATAATCCATATTGCTATAGTCTTCTTGACATTGAAGTGCTTAGATGATTAAGTTTTTACCGGAATAAGATGATAAAATAAAGGATGAGTTTCCTGCATCACTGTTTAGGAAAGGTTGGAAATTTAAATTTAATTATATCTTCCGTGTGGACATTACCTGGAAAGATCATAATCAAATGTTTTGTCTGAATCTGATCAAGATTTTATATAATAAGCCCTACTTATCCAGTAATTAACACAATGTTGTGATGATTTTTCACTTGTTTTACCAAGTTTTTGTCTCGCCTTGAGTCAAAAAGCGAGACATAGGTATGCTGTTTCCGACGTCGGCGGTGGCGTCAACAATGTATTAGTTTGTGATTAGGTCTAGTTTATGGTGAACCACTAGTGGTAGGTCTATGATATTTGGTATGCAGTTGTATTAGCATTGGCACATCTCATTACCATGCAGATTATTTGGCCCTGCCCCCTCAGTCATGGTCTATTGACTTCTAAAATTTGCTTTGTTTTCATGTACTAGTTTGTGATTAGGTCAGTTTAAGGGGGACTGTTAGTGGTAGGCCAATGTTAATTGGTATGCAGTTGTATAAGCATTAGCACATCTTATTTCCATGGAGAATATTTGGCCCTGCCCCCTCAGTCATGGTCTATTGACTTTGAAACTTTTGCTTAGTTTACATATGTATTAGTTTGTGATTAGGTCCGTTTAAGACGAACCACTAATGTTAAGTCAATGATATTTTGTATGCAACTGTATTGGCATTTGCAAGTTTCATTTCCACGGAGATTATATAACCCCACCCCCTCATTATGGTTCATTGACTTTGAAACTTTTACATAGTTTACAAGTTAATGTTTGTGTTTAGGTTTGTTTAAAGGGAACGACTTATGAAAAGTCAATGGTATTTGGTATGCAGTTGTATTAGCATTGGCACATCTCATTTCCATGAAAATTGTTTAACCCTGTACCTTCAGTCATGGTTCATTGACTTTGAATATTTGCATAACTTACATGTTAAAGTATTGCTATTTTAATTTCAACATTTGCATTATCAAAATAACAAATAGGTGAGACATATCTCTGTGATAACAGTTTATACTGAATAAGTCGCCAGTTATCATTCGTATATATAGAACCACTAATTCGGGCCCAGTCAGAAAGAACATGCCAGAAAGTAGTACATATTTTAAACAAAATAGTTCCTACGCATAGCTGTATTTTTGTCAATAAGTAAAATATTTGGGTAAATTTGGTATCAAATGAAAGCTTAAGAACTTGGGATCACTGTAGGACCCTAATTGAAAGTTTATTTCGAATAATAAAATTATAATAGGAGGGCACATTTGCCCTGTTGTTCAGTTCAGAAGTACCTGTTTTTGTACTACCAAACTTCCAGGCACCAGTACGCTCTAATATACAATTAAAGGTATGTTGAATTTTTCAGCACAAGTCAGGATAAGGTATAGAATTGACGTGAAATATCTGCCACTTTATTTGAACTTAAGACAAAGTAGCCATGAATGCTTAAAATTGCAGAATTTAACATAGAAAGCAATGGGGCTATGAATTAGTGGTTTTATTCCTTATATGAATCGGGTAGTTTATAATATTAACACAGTTGTCTAGCAGTTGCATAAATTCTGACAAAATAATCCATATTGCTATAGTCTTCTTGACATTAGAAGTGCTTATTTTAGATGATTAAGTTTTTACAGAATAAAATGATAAAATAAAGGATGAGTTTCCTGCATCCTGTTTAGGGAAGGTTGGAAATTTAAATTTATAATTTTATTCATAATAATTTGTTTATACTTTTCTTCCGTATGGACATTACTAGGAAAGATCATAATCATATGTATTGTCCTGAAGATTATATATAATTAGCTCTACTTATCAGTGAGACAGCCTCACTTGAACAGGCACTATTGGGGTGGGTTTAACTTTAACTAGTTTTACATGGACACAAACTTCCCTCTTTGACTATCTAAATGATTTGTCCCAAAACTAAAACACAATAAAAAACCTTCAGAGTGCAACTATAAGCATATAAGTGTACAAATATATTGTTATAACATCAATTTTAGATTTTAAAGGAAGATATGGTAGCAATTACATTGAATATCATTTTGCGTTTGATAGTATACAAAACTTGTGTTGATCCAAATATTTTGTTTACAGGTTGAGTCCTGAAATTTACTTAAAGCGTCACACTATGGATTGGAATAGATGGAGACTAGACAAAGTTTTGGAGAGAAAAGCTGTAAGTCATATTTTACACAACCACCTCCCCCCTTATCTATTTCAGGGAATGTAAATAAACGGTACTTTGCTATTGTGATTTTCATTTTCATTTGGGTTAAACCAAAGACTTAAAACTTGCTAATTTCTACTACTCTGCTAAGCACAGGTCATTTTGATTTCAACAAAAATTGAATATATGGGGTTCTTTGATATGCTGAATCTAATCATGTATTTAGATTTTTGTGGAGCCTTCGACTTTAGTCGAAAAAGCGAGACATAGCGATCCTACATTCCGTCGGCGGCGTCCACAAATATTCACTCTGTGGTTAAAGTTTTTGAAATTTTAATAACTTTCTTAAACTATCCTGGATTTCTACCAAACTTGGACAGAAGCTTGTTTATGATCATAAGATAGTATCCAGAAGTAAATTTTGTAAATAAATAAATCCATTTTTTCCTTATTTTACTTTTAAATGGACTTAGATTTTCTGCCAGGAAACAACATATTTACTCTGTGGTTAAAGTTTTTAAAATTTTAATAACTTTCTTATACTATTTTGGATTTGTACCAAACTTGGACAGAAGCTTGCTTATGATCATAGCTAGTATCTAGAAGGAAATTTTGTAAAAAAATAAATCCATTTTTTCCGTATTTTACTTTTAAATGGACTTAGATTTTCTGCCAGGAAACAACATATTCACTCTGTGGTTAAAGTTTTTAAAATTTTAATAACTTTCTTATACTATTTTGGATTTGAACCAAACTTGGACAGAAGCTTGTTTATGATCAAATGCTAGTATCTAGAAGGAAATTTTGTTTTCTTCCAGTTAACATTACATTCAGTCTGCAGTTAAAGTTTTTAAACATTTATTAGATTCATAAACTCTCCTGGATTTTTACCAAACTTGGACAGAAGCTTCTTACAATCAGAAGATAGTATCAAGAGGAATATTTTTATTGATTTACTACCTCATTTTTGTTGAGCCTGCGATTAACAGAAAAGTAGGCGAGACACTGGGTTCCGCGGAACCCTTACGAATTTTTTATTTGTGGGCCCCGCTATCAAATTGGTTTATATTGAGGTCAAAAGGGTCCAAAATTAAACTTTGTTTGATTTCATCAAAAATTGAATTATTGGGGTTCTTTGATATGCCAAATCTAACCGTGTATTTAGATTTTTAATTTTTTGGTCCCGTTTTTTAAATTGGTCTACATTAAGGTCCAAAGGGTCCAAAATTAAACTTAGTTTGATTTTAACAAAATTAAATTCTTGGGGTTCTTTGATATGCTGAATCTAAACATGCTTTTGATTATGGGCCTAGTTTTCAAATTGGTCCAAGTTGGGGTCCAAAATTAAACTTTTTTTTTGTTTGATTTCAACAAAAATTGAATATATGGGGTTCTTTGATATGCTGAATCTAACCATGTATTTTGATTTTGGGCCCCGTTATCAAATTGGTCCACATTGAGGTCAAAAGGGTCCAAAAATTAAACTTTGTTTGATTTCATCAAAAATTGGATTCTTTGTTATGCTGAATCTAACCATGTATTTAGATTTTGGGTATTGGACCATAATAGGTAAATTAAATTTTTTTAAGTTCTTAGACCACATTCATTCTGTGTCAGAAACCTATGCTGTGTCAAATATTTAATCACAATCCAAATTCAGAGCTGTATCAAGCTTTAATGTTGTGTCCATACTTGCCCCAACTGTTCAGGGTTCGACCTCTGCGGTCGTATAAAGCTGCGCCCAGCGGAGCATTTTATTGGAACTGTCAGACACATACTTCCTATTTGCCAATACTTTGAATTTTCAATATGTTGAATGATCTTAATATACTGGTATTTGTCACACATTTCTCCAGTACTACTTAACGGAATGATTTCATAGATGGTCAGCAGCTTGACAGTGATAAGTTGAAACAGGTGAACGCTTATTGATCTGTCAGACACCTACTTCCTGTTTTCCAATACTTTGAATTATGAGTAGTGTCTGCTTAGCATGACAACACATGCAAATTCTTGTTTATGAATATTTTGTATATTGTGTCAACCGTAAACGATCTTTAAGAAAAATGCACTGAAAGGGAAATTCTTTCAAAGAGTCTCCTTCCGTTTAGCAGTATATTTCAAGCTATAATAAAAAAGATAGAATGGCATTCTCATGATATATACTTTTGTAACTGTGTGATCTGAAATAAAATCTTGTTATTTGTGCTATAGATTTCTTCCCATTATGTTGTAATAACCATGAATAACAATACACAATAGCTTAAACTACGGTGTTTTAAATTGGCTTTATTATCATGTAGCTTGCAGTGTGATAATAAAATCTGCTAAAGTCCATATATTTTTTTCTATGAAATCAGTATTACAAGTACAGAAAATACCTTTATCTAAAATTAATTAAAATATTGTCAAGGAAATTTGTAATACAATATCACAACTCATTATGATATTACATTAACGACATTAATGTTTGATTATTCTTCCAAGAAATCCCAGAATTGTTTTACATTTTAGACTTTGAAAATGAAGTTTTGCTTAAAAATAGATCTCTAAATGTCTTATTAATTCAGCTTTTCCTGAACAATTGATTTAACCCTTGAAATCAGTTTGAAATTTAATTAAGTTAGATTGATTTACAGTGACTTGTTTTTCTTTGATTGATTTTCTTTCACTGAGATATTATCTCCATATTTTATCAAAATAAGGAGAAATGTGGTATAATTGCCAGTAAGACAACTATCCACCAAACACTGATCTGAGGTTTCTTGGAAGAATATTGTAGTTGTTACAGTAATTTAGTCTTGCTACTATACCCCAATAAAGTACAAAAATAGGGAAGACTATTGAAAGTTGATAAAATGCCACGGTTAACACTGTTTAAGAACAAACTATAATAGGATATTTCAAAACTATTGAATATAAATAAAAGGTGATGTGGGGTTACATTTCAATGAGATAAATCATCAAAATACTGTATTCCTTTGGATTGAAATAATATTAAAGGTAGAAATGGTTTGAAAAAGTGAAAGAACAGTACTGTGATGACCATTCAAAGGTTAACTTTGTTTGAAAAAATGTTTCTTCATTTCACGTTACTATATATTTATAGTTTTCCTTAGAATTATTGTTGTTTTAATTTCGGTTAGTAGACACACAGAATGTTTTCCAGTCTGTAGGTCTGTTTATTTGTCTGTCTGTCTGTTATGAGTTTAAGTTTTGGTTTACAGTCAGTTAAAAGTTTCGGTTATTATACGCCCGTTTACGGGACATACTATGGTATACTGTTGTTCGTCCGTCGTCAACATGTCAGACAATAACTCAAAAAAGCTTAATCCAATTTGCATGAAACTTTGGTGAATTGTTTAAATCTATTGACATGAGCTCCCTATCGATTTTTATAAATTTTAGATTTTGAGTTTCCGAGTTATGGGGTTTTATTCATTAAAAAAAGGGGGATTTTTCAGTTTTCTGACAATAACTCAAAAGCACTTTTACCAATTTGCAAGAAACTTTGGTGAATTTTTTATATCTATTGAAGTGACCTCCCTATGGATTTTTATAAATTTTAGATTTTGAATTTCCGAATTATGGGGTTTTATTCATTAAAAAAGGGGGGATTTTTCAGTTTTCCGACAATAACTCAAAAACACTTTTACCAATTTGCAAGAAACTTTAGTGAATTGTTTATATCTATTGATGTGAGCTCCCTTTCCATTTTTATAAATTTTAGATTTTACATTTGCGAGTTATGGGATTTTATTCATAAAAAGGGGGGATTTTCCAGTTTTAGGACAATAACTCAAAAGTGCTTTGAGCAGTTTTCATGAAACTTTGGTGACTGGTTTATATCTATTGAAACAACCTCCCTTTAGTTTTTTATAAATTTTTGATATGACATTGAGGAGTTATTGAACTTTATTCTTTGAAAAAGTGACGGGCGTATCATGCACTCATGGCACAGCTGTTTATTGATAAAGGTAGTTTGTGGTCACATCAAGATGCAAGACTTATTACACATTATCACTATGAAGTAAAATATTTGATATACATGTATATGCCAAATTTGTGTTTTGATCAAGATTTCTTAGTTCACTGAAAATGATGGGACAGAGCATGTTGGCCTGTAGACACATACTCGTTTTATTTATATTCTGAAAAATTTTTATATGCCGTACCATAAGGTGTTTATATAACTTGTATATTTTGTATTTTTTCCATTGCAGAAAGAAGGAGTAAAAATATTTATTTTATTGTACAAAGAAATGTCAGTGGCACTAAATATCAGTAGTATCTACAGCAAACATATTTTATCAAAGGCATGTCCAGAAAATATTAAAGTAAGTTGCTTGCATAGGAGGAATATCAATTATAAATAATATGAAAATAAGGAGATATGGTCTGATTGCCATGCATGGAGACAGCTATCAACTAGAGACCAAAGGACAAGGATGTAAACAACAACAGGTCACTGTACAGCCTTCAACAATGAGTAAAACCCATACTGTATACCTACTTATCCTCTTCGCTCCTGGCAGAGCATAAGGTCGCCACAAGATTTCGCCATCCAACTCTGTCTTTAGCCTTTGTTTCGGCTTCTCCCCAGGTCATGTCAAGCTCCTTCAGTTTTGTATAGTAGGCTATAAAAGGATGTAGATCAAATGTGAAACAATTTAAACATGAAAACCAATGACCTTATATATGCTAAAACAATAAACGAAAAACAATTATGGCAGACAGTAACCGACGAAAACCACTGAAATACAGGCTCCTGACTGTATAAAGAATGTGGCAGGGTTACACATGCTTGTTAGCACTCAAATCCTCCCTCAACATACCTAGGACAGTGGTTTAAAAGTACAACATAAGAATAAACTCTAAAAATAAGTTGGAAAAGGTTTGACTCATCAGATCAGCATGAAGCACAAAAACAATTAACAAAAAGAGAAGAGACATTAAGTAATGAGTACTTGTAGTTACTGAAAGCTAGTTCAAAGCCATGTATAACTAATAATTAAGCCATGTTTCCTCAGACTGATATATCAATCAGTACACATCAAATTTATCGTAAAAACATCATAAAAAGTCTGAGAAAAGAATGTGTGCAATGCCAAAATATAAGAATCAACAGGATGTAGGACCATAAGTGTTCATAACTAATGGTAATACATATTTAGTATTCAAAATAATGGGCTCTAGAAACAATATTGTGGTAAAAATTAGGATGTGATATTCCATTTGTAATGAAGTTTCTACAGGTACAGCCAAACTTAGAAATGAGATCTTTGTATATATGAAAAAATTTTGCTTTTAAGTTATTTGTGCTATTCACGATATTTGCACTGAGAAATATAGATCTGACATGAGGAAAATATATCTTAAAGGACTTAGGAATGTGAACTTACAGAAGTGGACATTACTAATGAATTTGGTAAATTTTCATGATAATCTTAGACGACCACATCATATGGTGGCTTACAAAACATGCATATGTTTAACTATAAATAAAGATAGTTGAGGAATAGTTGAGTTTTGAAACTTGACAAAAATATGAGAATGTTATCAATATCAAGATTATCTAAGAACATGTTCTATATTTAGATATTACGACATCCTGATCATGGTGCTGGTGGTGTTTTACTGTGGGCTCATCATGAGAAAATTGTATGTGTGGATCAAAAAGTAGCATTCCTAGGTGGCATTGACCTTTGTTATGGTCGATGGGATGATGCACAACACAAGTAGGTCAAATCATAGTTATGGTACCTAAGTAATGAGTAAAACTAGACGCATACTATTTTAAAGAAAATACGGGAAAAGGATATCCCAAGTACAAACTTCAGATGGCAGGAGACAAATTAAAGCAATATCATATAACACAAATAAAAGAAGCTGATAAAAGTACACTTTGATAAAGTTGCTTGATTTAAATTTCTACATCACAACAGTAGCTGCATAAAAATAATGCTATGAAAATTTTTAATGAGATTTTTTGTGACCTATTTCGTCACAATATTTGCAATAATTAAAACATGGCAAAAATTACTGAATTTACAATATTTAATATTTCATTCCCGAGAACCATGTAAACTAATAAATATTTTCTTTATTCACAGATTAACAGATTTAGGTTGTGTTATTTATGACCATGTCCCTCCTGTACAGGTAATATTAATCTCACATTTACTTTACATGTATTTAAAAAAGCACTATAACACCAGTAATGGAAATAAGCTATCTTGTATTTGTGAATCCTTATTCTAAGGACATTTTTAAGGGATCTTAAATATCTTAATAATTTTTAAAATATGTAATATCTCAAAGAACATGTTTAACCCTGCCGCATTTTTGCGCCTGTCCCAAGTCAGGAGCCTCTGGCCTTTGTTAGGGATCATAGATTTATTCTTACGAGGAAGCTCCGAGCATGCTCGGAGGATGCTCGGAGCTTATTCAGTAGGCTCTTCTCTGCAGTTTATGTGAAAATAATTATCATGATCCATTAAGATGTCAATCAAATCTACACCACTTCTATAATAAGGAAAGTTGAGCATTATAGAGGAAGCTCAATTAACACCTGTGTAAACAACTGATCTATTCAAATACATTTTGCATGACATTTTACAAATTATAGAAAAGATAAGAAATTCTTCAACAGTACTGTGTAATGCTTGGAAAGAAATCTCAAGTCTCCACAAAAAAGTGAAAGTCATTTAACAAAAAATATACAATTATTATATTTATTAATCATTTCTTTTTTTATAATAAAAAAAATTCTCAAATCTTATAATTAGATGATATGATTTAAATATAGTTTATATTATATAATAATACTCTCATTTACAGTTACTTTTTTATGTAATTTCAGTTAAATGGCCAAGCTGTAACCAGTGAGGATGATAATGAAGGCATAACTATATGTGTAACACCACCTAGTCCAAATCGTCATAAAGATTTATTTACTCCAGACGAGCCTAAATCTTTGCCAAATCAAACAGATAATCAGGAATCTTGTGTGTGTTCAGGACACAGAGCAGAAAGTCCTCACGGCTATGCTTATACAAATGATACTGAGGAAAGTACTGTGGGAATCAATCAGGAAGATGCTTATAAACATTCAGACTCTGTCATTCCAAATATATTAGAAATAGATGTGCCTTCAGGTAATTGTGATAATAATACAAACAAAGTTGAGGGAGGAGATGATGGGACCACGATTGTTAATCAACAGGAAGTGTCTGTGATAGTTCATGAAGTCAGTTCTCAACAGCCTGATGACAATGAAAAGATGAGAAATATTGTCAATTATATGCAAAATCAAGCTCTTGCTTCTAAAGCTAAGGCTTTAATACAGAAAAATGCTCAAATTACTTCTAACTGCTCAAAAGTTCAGGAAGACAAAACCCCCCAAAGTGTACAAAAGGAGGGTGAAAAGATTCATTTGATAAGACAAGATGAAATCACAGAAGATACGTCAACAGCTGACGGCATACAAAGGACCAAGTCAGCAAAAGAATTTAGGATAGAATTAGAGAATAATAAGAAACAAAAACTGAAAAATAAATCTACTGAGAATAAAAAAGACGAAGGCAGAAAGAGTAAAACAAAGTCTAAAATCAGTGAACATGGAATAATTGAAAAAGGATTCAAAAAGTTAGAAGAGGATATGCCTGTTTTCATTGATCCTAATGAGCAGCCATCAAAGAAGATTAGAAATGATTCTGGAGAGATGCAAATGAGAAAAAAATCACCCTCGCCTATGGAGGTAAAGGAAACTTCAACAAAAGTTACAGCATCTAGAGAAAGTTGGGCGAGACGGAAGTTACGAGCCTCCATAACAAAAAGTCAAAGCAAGGAAGACAACAATAATAAAGATACATCTCATGATGGTGAGGAAGAAATGGATGAACACATTCGTAAACGCTGGCGTTTAGTTCTAAATGTACAAAAATTTCAATCAACACTACAACAACCTCAAAAGATAGCTGGATTTCCAGAATCAAAGAAACAACCTTTATCATCTAAGATATCATCTAAAATTGTAAGTATTTGATAAGCATTGACGGGTTTAAATCTTCAAAGTTATAAGCGTATTGTATCAAGTGGTGTGAGTTTTGATATGAACCAAAATTGCACCATAGGAACCAAAATTAGACCTTAGGAACTAAAATTGGACCTCAAGAACCAAAATTAGACATTAAGAACCAACAATTGACGTTGATCTAAGATTTGTGTCAATATTGATAAATTTCTACGATCCCAAAAAAATACTTATCCACATCTAGTAAATTTCTCAGATTTCCATTGTTTAATGATACATCTGTAAAAATCCCACTGTTATGCTGAAATTAAATAAAGTGGCTACGAATTTACTGGCTGCATGAGTAACTGTACCCATAAAATGTTTCCATGTACAAACCTCTCTTTGGTTTGCTTCATAATTAGTACGAGTACACAGTATATATAGTACCAGAAAATGTGGCAGGGTTGCATGCATTATTAATTCTTGCAGAATAGTATACGTGTATAGACTAAAGTCTTTTTCTAACTGTCTGTCAATGAATGAATGTGTAAATGATAGTAAATATAGTACACACAACATATAGTATAGTACTACTAGTAGTATAATTGCTGTACTCTTCTGATAAATTTCTACGGTAACATTTGATAAATTTGTTCAAGACTAGTTGTGATAGCACTAAATCAGTTTCAACGTCAAATAAACTATTATTCATTTTGGACATTTGGATGGTAAATGAAAACATATACCCAAATATCTCTTTACTCAAATGAGCACAAAAATAAACTGAAACAATTAATATCAAAATTATGTGGATCCAAAAATCCAAAACAAGACAAAATCAATTAATTATTTTTCATTACATTTTATTCCCAATAAAAAAAGGAAAAGGCTTTTTTTATATATATATATATTTGCTTTTTTGATTTCACAAAGTAACAAAGTAATCCGCCATAATTTTTCTCCAACATAGCTTAAAGAATTGAGAAGCACAAGTGTTAATGCAAAATCCCTTATTTATTAAAGACTAAATATCTCCAAACATCATAGTACATAAACAGGCCTGTGCAAACATTTTATTTATGTGTTTAATCTTTTTTTAATTATTCGAACTCCTTTAAAATGCAAAATGTATTACATTCTAATTAAAATGTACAAGTCAGATACAAAACAAAAGTAACAAAAGTAAGGGGATGGTAACATCCAGCCGTATAGTTTTTCTGCACTCGTAGTCAGATCGTGGTCCTCAGGCATTGACCTTGACTTCCCGTGCAGAAAAGCTATAAGGCTCTGTTCTGTATCTACTACTTTTTGTTTTGTATGCACCCGCCGTAGCGGAGGGGGCATTAAGGTTTACCCTTCAATGTCCGTCTGTATGTAGATATAAAAATAAGAAGATGTTTTACGATTGCCAATGAGACAATTCTCCACAAGAGACCAAATGACACAGAAATTAACAACTATAGGCCACCGTACAGCCTTCAACAATGAGCAAAGCCCATACCGCATAGTCAGCTATAAAAGACCCCGAAATGACAAATGTTAAACAATTCAAACGAGAAAACTAACAACCTGTACATCCCGAAATTGGTTTCCATTCTCTAACTTTAGTTTGCTTCAACCAAATGTGATGAAATAAACAAAATGCTTATTACCACAAAACTCAGATCAAGTTCAAATTTGGGTGGCGTCACTTATATACCATTCTGGAGTTATGCCGCTTCATAACTGGAAAAATTCTGAATTTTTCGTTTCCGTTCTCTAACTTTAGTTTTCCTCAACCTTATAATGTTATGAAACTTATACACAATGCTTATTACCACAAAACACAGATCAAGTTCGATTTTGGAGGCATCACTTTTACAGTTCTCTAGTTTTATCTCTTTATTGGCCCGTCCAGTGTTGTTAGCGCTCTCCAGTGTACAATTCTTGCCAGATTTTTATGAAACTTATATCATAGCTTTATATCAGCAATGTCTTGGACAAGTTAGAAATTAAGTGCTGATAATTTATTTTTAAAAGAGTTATGCCCCTTGGAAACATTAACTATATGTAAAATTGCAAAATTAGCACTCTCATTTGTACAATTCTTGCCAGATTTTTATGAAACTTATATCTTAGGTTTATATTAGCAATGTCTTCGACGAGTTTGAAAATCAGTGCCGATCAAGTATTTTTAAAAGAGTTATATCCCTTGGAAACATTAAATATATGGAAAATTGCATTGTTAGCGCTCTCATGTGTACAATTCTTGCCAGAATTTTATGAAACTTTAATCATAGGTTTATATGAGCAATGTCTTTGACAAGTTCGAAAATCAGTTATGATCAATAATTTTTAAAAGAGTTATGCCCCTTGGAAATATTAATTATATGGAAAATTGCCTTATGAGCTCTCTAATGTGTACAATTCTTGCCAGATTTTTATGAAATTGATATTATAGGTTTATATCATCAATGTCTTTGGTGAGTTCAAAAATAAGTGCAGATCAATTATTTTTAAAAGAGTTATGCCCCTTGGAAATATTGATTTATATGGAAAATTACATAGGCAGCGTGCTCATCTGTACAATTATTGCCAGAATTTTATGAAACTTATATTATAGGTTTATATCAGCAATGTCTTTGAAACTTTCGAAAATAAGTGCTAATCAAATATTTTTAAAGAGTTATGCCCTTGGAAATATAAGTTATAATGGAAATCACATTGCATTTGCTCTGAAGCCTTCATATCTCTAAGATATTTTAAGATAAAAAGTTTGAAAGAACAAAAAAAATTGCTTTTTTTAGTTATTGCCCTTGTACCTTGGATACATAAAATATGTGCAATGCGGGGGACATTGGAACTCTGTTCTTTTATAACGTTATAAGTGAGCGAGGGGCATCATCTGTGTTCAATGGTCACATTCTCCATTTATTGTATTATAGATTAACATGATCAATGATGATAAAAAGAATGAACAACTCATTTATAAATGTCACCTTATCAGTTTCCAGGGGTCTCAATGGCTGAGTGGTCTAAGTAGTTCATCTGCAGTATCACTAGCTCCAAACACTGAGGTTGTGAGTTCATGGTAGGTTTGTTTGACACCGATCTTAATTGACAACGAATTCCCGTTATCCCATCTTTGGTTCTCTATGGGCACTCCAGCTTCCTCTGCCGATGGAGACTAGCTACCATGATATAGCCTAGAGTGTTGAAAGTGGCATTCAACACCAACAATCAATCAATCAGTCAACCAGGCGTGGACAAAGAACTAAAATTGACATTGAAATATAAGGTTCTTTTTTATGAGTTCTAAGATAGTGTTTTTTCTACAAAAAAGATAGAAATTAAATATTCAACATGTTCAATGGCACAAGATCTCTTTAAGGTTCTTTTTATGAAGATAGTATTTATTTTACAGAAAGATAGAATTAGACACGATAGAAAAGACAGTTTAGATGGGATTAAAGAAGAACTGGATTAGTAAGTTTTATAAATATTTTATATATTATCTTCACTGCATTTATAATGCAAACTGAATATATGTATTTTCATTGTATTGATTATTTCTAGATTTCTTATTGTGTCCAGCTGAGGGAACACCTAGGAATCACTTCTGTCATCTTGAATCAATGTATGCATTGTCTCTGTCACATTTTTGTTAATCTGCAATTCCTTGAAAAATACTTGACAGATTTGAAACAAACTTGCACATATTCTTATTCAGGGGTAATACCACCATTGTCTTTCTCCTGTTAGTCTTTGTTAAATTAGCATTTTTCAAAAAATTGTTTTGAATTACCTTTGTTTTAAATAAATTGGCACAAATAAAGTTTAATCCTGTCCAGTACTACAGTGAAAATTTTACACATCCTTTTATTGCATTTAAGAAAATAACATTCACCGGAAGTAAACAAAGCAACTTTTCACACCTTTTTTTCCTGTTTACAAGCTTTAGAAACCAGGTCACCTCAAGTTTCCAAAATATTTTATAGGAACACCAAATAAAAAAAGAAAAGTGCTTTGAAACTCCCAAGATAGGGTTAATTTCCTACAATTGTCAAATTCAAAGGTATTTTGTTTTCATCCTATTAGTATTTTAACATGAAATGAAAGTGACATAAAAGTGGTATTACACAGACAGGCCATGAAGTTTGTCCACCTGCCATTTTATTTTTTTATCTGAGTGATTATTAGGGTTTCTTATACTAAAACATGGACTTACCAACTTCTCTTTATGCCAGTTTGTAATCTGCAACTAGTTTGAAGGTGCCTGACAGAATTCCACCAATCTTAATCATTTCATAATATTGTTCTCCTGATATTTTAGTTTTCCAACTCAATTGATTAAAGGGGTGTTTCCTTTTGTAAAAAATATACTGAGCTATTTTTGCTTATATTATTGGGAGATGATAGGTCACATAGGTCTACCTTTGTAAAAAATAAAATACAATCAACAAATAAATGTAAAAGAAGACAGTATGAGTAAATTTTTTTATCATGAAAAATTATATACTGTCGGTTTTGTGCCAATACTTTAGTTTTTTTGTCTCACCTGCAACGAAAGTTGCAGAATGCATGACATGGGGATTACGATCTGTCGGCGGTGACAACGTAAACTATTTGTATAAAGCTTTATATTTCAGAAGGAAGAGGACCTGGGATGCTTCATACCTTGTATACAGATACCTTATGTTATAATATTTCTGTCTGTCATATGTTCATTGTCCTTGACCTCATTTTCATGGTTCAGTTGATGCTTGAAAAAAACAAAATTCAGTCAAGATACTCACTTATTATGAGTAATAGGATAAAAATATTTGGAAAATGGGTTTTTTGCAATGTCTATGTGTCCCTCAGTTAATGTTCACCTGACCTTGACCTCATTTCATGGATCAGTGATTAAGGTTAAAGTTAAGTGGTCAAATCCATATCTAAGACACTATAAGCATCAAGTCAACTATATTTGATGTATGGAATGATCATAAGATGTATGTCCGACTGGCAGGGTTTCATCTGTGTAAAGAAAGAGCATAAGATGTATTTCCGACTAACAGGTTTTATCTGACCTTTGACTTCAATTTCATGGTTCATTGGACAATGTTTAGTTTTTGTGTTTTGTCCCATTTCTCAGATAATAGAAGCAATAGGGCCACTATATTTGGTGTATGGAATGATTGTAAGATGTACATGTTCGTGTGACAGGTTCATCTGACCTTGAACTCATTTTCATGGTTCATTGGATAATGTTTAGTTTTTGTGGTTTGGTCTATTTCTCCGATGTTATAAGCAATAGGTCAACTATATTTTGTGTATGGAATGATTGTAAGGTGTATATGTCCTACTTGCAGGTTTCATCTGAGCTTTGATCTCATTTTCATGGTTCATTGGATATTGTTTAGTTTTTGTGGTTTGGTCTATTTTCAGATATTATAAGCAAAAGGGAACTATATTTGGTGTGTGGAACCATTGTAAGGTGTACATGTCTGTCTAGCAGGGTTCATATGACCTTGACCTCATTTTCATGGTTCATTGGTCAATAATAAGTTTTCATAATTTTGTCAGTTTATCAGATACTATAAGCAATAGGTCAACTATATTTGGTGTATGGAATGATTGTAAGGTGAACATGTTTGTTGGGTAGCGTTCATATGACCTTAACCTCATTTTCATGGTTCATTGGTAAATGTTAAGATTTTTGTGGTTGGATTTTTTTCTCAGGTACTGTAAATTCAGAAATAATTTTGGTGCATCTATTATTGCAATTTTTAAAGAATGGACAAAAATGTGAGGTTAATTATTGCGATTTCAAGAAAATCTGCATACAGATAGATATGTCAGATATCAGAATGCCAGTTCTTATTATGATACACAACCAGTCACATTAATCGCAATAACAAAAACCTTGCAATAATTTCTGAATTTACAGTACTATAAGTGATAGGACCACTATATTTGTTGTATGGAATGATTGTAAGGTGTCTGTCTGGCAAGGTTCATCTGACCGTAGCATCATTTTCGTTGAACATTAATGTTAAGTTTACGGGATAGTTGTAGTAAAACCTTCAAATTACAAACTTTCAACTGAAATTCAAAGATGAGTAAAAAAAGGCAAAACATTTCAGGGTGTGCACTCTTGTTTTAAATACAGAATACAATCCATTTTTACATGAATAAGATGTCGAATATCTCATCTGCAATTGTAATCTATTCTTTCTTCATTAATGTGTTAATCATGGTTATTTTTCTCCAGTTTAGATACACCTGCTATCCTACATAAAACTAATAGTGAAATGAAAATAGATGAGTTAGGACTGGTTGGATCTAGTAAGATGTGGATTGGAAAAGACTATGTCAACTTTATTTACAAAGATTTTGTAGATTTACATGATCCATTTGAAGGTTAGTTAAGACAGTAATTGATAGTGTCCATGCTGGATAATAAATTTGGCCTTGATTTCTGTAAACCAATGGTTAAAACCTTCTTTGTATATTCAAATTTCACAACACTTAACTTGATGATCAATATAAATAGTTGATAAATAATGATATGTAAAAATTGATAAAATCTCAACTCATAGTAAAGACAAAAAATTATTTAAACCCCCCAAAAAACAAGAACTCAGTTTTAGGAAAGGAAAAATGTTTTACAATTGTTTTTTAAAGTAAACATAGAAAGAAGTCAAGTACTGTATTCCTACTCAGTAAGAAGAGAATATCTGGTAGGCTACAGCTTGATGTTTGTATTTCCTATAACAAATATCTTGAAGTTAGAACACAACATTCAATTAAGTGCATTCATGACAAACCACTGATATTTTATATCCATGTTATATATTAGGCCTTGTCTCAGGAGTTATCCTCATTTTTATATGACCGCAAAAATTATTTAAAATTAATATACATGATTTCTGAATATTATGTGTAAATGAAATATTAATTTATGACAGAAAATTTATGTATTTTTTTAAGTGATATTTGCTCCCATGCTGTTACATGGCTTTCTATCAATTACTTTTTGTTATGTAAAGCAAGTGAGATATATATAGTACAATTGAAAGAAGGGTTAATCATATTTCTCATAGGCTAATGTTTGTACATTACATATTGCTTTTTTCTGTCATTTTAACAATATCTTTCTTATCTTTCCTTTTGTTGAATTTGCTTGCAAGTTAACATTGGTTGCTTTGCTTTTTTAAGATTTTATTGACAGAACACAAACTCCCAGAATGCCTTGGCATGATATAGGTGGAGTTGTTTATGGGAAAGCAGCAAGAGATGTTGCCAGACATTTTATAGGGCGCTGGAATATGACGAAGGTTTGTAATGTGATTTGTTTGCGCTAGAATCTTAGTACTTAATTCTTCACATTTTATGCAAATCTTATTCTGTCCTTGAAAAAGACTCTCGTTCTCTTAAAATTGGTTGACGCAAAATTCCACATGATAAAATATTTCTGTGTGTTCCCGTTTTTGTAATTTAAATAAATTTGTTCAATTTAAGTCCAATTTGGATAAGTGAAATTTTCTTAGCACTAAATAGTATAATAAAAAAACACAATTGTTTTTCATTAAGTCAATTGTTTCACACCTGTAAGAATAGCCACAGGCATTTAATGTCATCTAATTCATTACCCTTGCAAAATAACATGGAAGAAAAGTGATTTATTCCTTCCTTTTAAATGAAGTGTAACTTGACAATTTGTAGTTCTTTTTTTGTAAAGAACCACAATAACACTCATTCAGAAATTCATTTTAACAAGTTACTTTGATAATTCAGTAAATGTTAAAATATTCCGAAATATTACAAAAGTAAACTAAAACTGATAAAAAGATTTAGCTAATTATTATAAACAACCAATGTATATGATTTACTGTAGTCTGGTATGTGTCTGCTTTTAACTTAATGTCCGCATTAAAGTAAATTACGGTCATTGTTAATAATTATTTCAAAGAAATTTTTTCTTAAAATACAGAAAGTAGTGTGTTTTTCTTTTTTATTTAACAGGTAGAGAAGGCAAAAAACAATCGTAATTATCCTTTACTGGTACCAAAAGGATACACTCCACATAACCTGGTTCCCCAGGTAATTAGGGACCAGTGTGATGAAGTTAAATCACAGGTTTGTGTAGTAACTCTTAAGCAAGTTAAATGATATTGAAAATCTATGTCATACATCAGGGGCTGATCCAGGATTTTTGAAAAGGGGTGTGTAATTCCCAATTTCTAGGCGGGTACATGCTCTTCAATCTATCCTGGATCAGTCACTGAACATATTAAATTTACTATTGTCAGAGTGATAATAGTTTGAAAATGAAAGTATTTTGAACAAATCACTAATTGCTGCTTTAGAGAAAAAAGAATGTTATTTGAAGAGTGAAATAAAAGACAATTTTAATGATGAGCAAATAACTTGTGAGTGGGTCAAATATAATTTTTAATAGTATACTATGAAATATTGTGTACAGGTGAATGAAATCTTTATATATAGACCACTTTGGTTTTAGTGAACATCATTCGTGCATTTAGGGGTATCGTCACTTCCATTCCATGTTGAGCGAGCGGTTGAGAAAATATGATGCTATATTGCACGAATTATTCGGTAAATTAAATTCTTATAATTGATAATCAGCACTGTCATTAGGGAATTGTGATTAAGTACCTACAGAACAAGCATTACTTCTAGTTTATGTTGCATAATGACGATCACAAAGACCCTTGATGAACTTTGATAGTGCAGGGATACAGGCGGTCCCCTCTATCTGGTAAATGACGTCATGAAGGTGCGCATAATTGACAAACTTTTCTGGTGAAGGACATAACTCGAAAGTGGTTTATTGTACTATGTAATATGATAAACTGTAATCTGTTCTATTAGGTCCAAATCACATAGCAAATTCTCTTAAGTTTTAATTTGTTTTATGACACCTTGTTCACTTTTGACACAGTATTTAATTCACTGTATTTTTTCAGATACTTAGAAGTGCTGGTGGTTGGTCATGTGGTATACAGAGACGGGAGACGTCAATACAAACAGCATATTTACATTGTATAGAAAGTGCCAAACATTATATCTACATTGAGGTTAGTGTATAAGAATACTTGATATCATTAAATGTAATTATTAAACTAGAATAAATAGCTTTTGATGATATCTGTGTGTTCAATTCAAACAATGGTTTGTATTAAATAGTATAGGCGTTGTATTTGTTTCGCCTGTGACGAAAGTCATGGAAAGTGAGACATAGGGATTGCATTTCCGCCAATGGTGACGGTGATGGTGTCAACAATTGTTAAGTTTTCAGCTTAAATTAGTTTGATAGGATCTACTTGTGATAGATAATGATATTTTGTATGAAGTTGCATTACTATCAGTTCATATCAGTTTGACAACTTTTATGTCATGGTCCAGTGACTTTCAATTAATAAGCAATTTTTAATAAGTTTTCTGCTCAAGTCAGATTGATAGGAACTACTTATGATAGATCAATGTATATATACTTTCTATAAAGTTACATTACTGTCTGTACATCTCAGTTTGTTTACCATTTTGAAGCCCTGCCCAGTTGATCATGGTCCAGCGACTTTGAATTAATAAGCAATTTTGCTGTTCATCAGATTGTCTTTTTCTGAATTTTATGCGGACAGACCAGACATATCTCTGTGTCAACAGTTTTATTTTATGCATATATATATATATTTACAATCTGATTGTAAAACTGATCCTGTGTCCACGTTTTACTTACAAGGATCTGAAAACTGATCCTGTGTCCACGCTTTACTTACAAGGATCTGAAAACTGATCTATTTTCTATTTTAAAGATACATAACTGTCAACTTGTGTAATACAATGATGAACAACCAAATTTGAGATTGACTAATTTTTATGCCTGCAATAAATAAAGAGAAAATGTAAATGGTTTGAACAAATATAAAGTGATGTCTAAGAAAGAAAAATTCTGCTGGAGAAATATTATTCATTTAGTACTGCTTGATATCATAGACAAATTGGGTTTTTTGAAAGAAAGAAAAATGGCCCACAACCGGTAAAGTTTATTTTTAACTATATTGCTTTTTTTCATAATGGTTTAACTGGTTATATATGTTTCATACTTTTTTTTTCAGAATCAATTCTTCATCACATATATAGGGGACCATGCAGTTGTAAAGAATGAAATAGGTGAAGCTTTGTTCAAAAGGATTGTCAGAGCTCATAGGTATGTATTAAAGACTTTCATATATGACTAGTTAAATTGTTATTTGAATGCAACAGTTTTGAAATGATGTGTTAGAAATTATTTTGATAAATCATTTATATCAAATGTATATATTGGTATAGAAAAGGGATTTTCAATGTTTTTAAATGACAGCAAAAAAATTTGGGGGTCGTATATTGCTATCACGTCGTCAGCGGCAGTGTCGTCGTCTGAAGACATTTGGTTTCCAGACAATAACTTTAGTTTAAGTGTATGGATCTCTATGAAATTTAACCAAAAGGTTCAATACCACAAAAGGAAGGTTGGGATTGTTTTTGGGGGTGATGGTCCCAAGACCAAAACAGATTTACTAAAGTATTGCACAACAGCACAGTGTATTGCACAACAGCAAGAAATCTTCAATTGAATATAAATTCAAAACATACAACCAATTTCAAGTTCTTTGACTACATTTATTCTGTGTCAGAAACCTATAATGTGTCAAATATTTAATTACAATCCAAATTCAGACCTGTATCAAGCTTGAATATTGTGTCCATTTTTGCCCCAACTGTTAAGGGTTGGATTTCTGCCTTTGTATCCAGCTGCACTCGGCGAAGCAGTTTATTTTTGTTTTGTTTCTTTGATTTAAGAGATTTAAAGAAAATGCTCCTTTTGTAGAATACATTCCACAATGCATCTGTTTGGACAAAACTGCTCAGAGTCCAAATTCAGATCAAACATAGAACATGTAGATTTAATATAGAAAAAATAATATAAAGTGACCTTCTCTATGAATATTCTCTATAACCTATTGATAACATTTGTTATTAAATGATTAATATTGTAATTTTACTAAAATAAAGATTATATTCTTTTTTGATAACAAATACAAAACTGTTGAAGAAATGCCTGTTATTTGAATGGTATTATATCTTGCAGGAACAACGAAACATTCCGTATATATGTTGTTATGCCATTATTGCCTGCCTTTGAAGGAGAAATAGGAAAATCTGGTGCCTATGCTATTAAAGCTATCACACATTATAACTACACATCTATATGCAAAGGACCACAGTCACTGTGGAACAATTTAGGGAAAGAAGGTAAGATAATCAGATAAAACGTCAAAGGTCTAAATCGACTGTCTATTTTCTTTTTACATGAAATATATATATTTAAAAAATAGTAGTGAAATATTTAGATTATTCCAAAAGACCAAACCTACTACAAACTCCCCCCAGTGATTTCCACAAAGAGTAACTTTTTTGGTGGCATAAAAACAGTAAATTTCAATAAACTTAATTAAGTACAGTAGGAAAACAAACTTGTTAATAGTGGAGAGGTGGATTTAGTTACCATGGCTGTAAGGAGAATACTGCTGCTGTATAGAAATATAAGGAAGATTTTTTTAAATTAATATAAAGGAGGAAGCAACAAAAGTATTCTCTTTAAATATTCCAGTTATTAATTTACACACAGACACCTAGTAAGATAAAAATGAATAAATGTACAACCCTTAGTTAGCAATGTATTCATATATCAATTGTTTTAAGTGGTCACTTTCTGTGCATTCATCATGACACTCAGTTTTATTGCTGTAGAAATTAGTTCCCTTGGTAAACCCCTAGATTTGGTTTGTAACTGATAATCTCCACCAGTAGATCAAGTTTACCTCATAAATTCATGCAGTAAATCTTGAACTGCTATTTCTGTGGTGTTGAAAGCACTGCTTCTTGGCATGTCTATTTTAATTGGTATGATTTGATTTGCAGAATGATAAAAAAAGATAATTTTCCTCTTTGTATGTAGAATGATGATAAGTAAGTGATATTATCTCCCGTTAGTGTGTTAACAGAATGATTTGTGATAATATGTGTATTTACTGTTGTTGTTGCAGGTATAGAACCATTAAATTACATTACATTCTGTGGGTTAAGGACACACACTGAGCTCAATGGCAAATTGGTAAGTTTTTTTTATCTCCAATATTATATATTACGGGTTATATTTAATTTGAAATTAACAATAATGTCAAATAACAGGAAAAACTATTGTTAAAATTTAAAATGGACAAAATTTATCTAAAGGTCAGTGTTAATGTAGTTATATATCTGTAATTAGTACCATAAGTAGCATACTTTATCATTTCAATTTAGAAAAAAAGTGGCATCATAGAGCATTGTAAATTAAGCATTTCTGTTTAAGGACCATTTCTAGATATATGGTGTAAGAGCTGATGACTAATCTTTTGATTATTTTTTCAGATCTCAGAATTAGTGTATGTTCATAGTAAACTTATGATTGTTGATGATGACACTGTTATTTTGGGATCGGCAAATATCAATGACAGAAGCATGCTGGGAGATCGAGATAGTGAAATTGCTGTGATGTTTCAGGACATCCATAAACACAAAGTTAGAATGAATGGAGTCGAACATATGGCAGGCAAATTTGCATCTTCCATGAGAAAAAATTTGTTCAGGTAAATGTCTTATCTTCTATTAAAAATTAGGAGATGTGGTATGATTGCCAATGAGAAAACTGTCCATAAAAAGATCAAATGAAAAGGATGTTAACAACTGCAATTCTTGATCACTGTACAACATTCAACAATGAGCAAAACCCATATTGTAAAGTAAGCTATAAAAGTCCCTAGATATATATGACAGACAGCAACCAACGACAACTACTGAATTACAGGCACATAAGGAATGTGATGAGGTGTAGCCATGACATGCTTATGAATGCTCAACCTTCCACCTTGACCTGGGACAGTGGTGTAACAACAAAATATTATCACAATGTATAAAAGTCAGTATGTTTTTATCAAATGTCTAATGCAGCATTGTTTTTATGTCAACTCTGAGTGGACAATGAACACCAATTCCGTGTTTGATGCTGTGTTTGCTTGGTATCATTTCCTGTTGCATAACAGAATGCAATAAAGTTGTTCACTTATTGTTTGCTAGCACCAATTCTGGTTTTGTTGTGCTCATTACCAATAAACTCAATTTGAAAATGTCAAATGTATGATTAATGCCAGTAAATACTAATATATATGTATACAATAACCTATCTTCTAAATACCATCAACTTTGTTAACATTATTATCAGCTTTAGATATAATAGAACATATAGGGAGAGATTAGGACTGTGTCCAATGTATGTGTTATGATTATTTTATCATGTTACAGGGAACATCTAGGGATAGATCCGTTAGACAACACTATAGATTTATCTGATCCTGTCAGTGATGTGTTCTACAAAAACTTCTATCTTAGTGTGGCAACAGTGAACACTGGGATATATGAAAAGGTAAGGTATCTGTGTTTCTTCATCGTGTACTACTCATTTTTTTATCTCAGAGTGGCTGTAAGAAAATACATGTACTAATATTTGAACCAAGGTAGGGTATATGTCCTATTTCTGTAATGTGTTGGTACACCATGAATGCTTATATCTTAAATATAATTGAATATTCAACTAGACAGTCATAAGTTAAAAGTTGAAGTATAGGATTAAAAAATCATAACATGATGTTTTTTTATTTATATCAGATGTTATTATCAGTCCTCAGTCAAATCAGCCCTAAATCCTTCGCCTCCCTTGGACTAATATCTTGACCTAGGGCTGATAATATATCTGAAATAAAAACTGTCGAGGTATAATCTGATAACAATTTTTGGTAAATTTGGTAAGAGCTATTCCATTTATACGTATATATCCAAAGGAAATCACAACGAAGTCACTTCTATACTTGATTATTTGAATGCAACAGACAACTACACAAAATATCACTTCTTTTAATAGTTCATTGAGGTTGACTACCTTCCTTGGTTAAAAGCTATAACTGAAATAATACAAAATTAAAGAATGTAAAAGATTTTCCATTTGAATTTTGTTTACACACCAAATCTACCGTAGAAAGGCTTGTATAGTCCGCGGTTTTATTCTCCAAAATTGGACCTTCCAGACGGGGTGCGGACTATAGAGTACAATAAGCAAGATATAAGAGAAAAATTTCAATTTCGCGGGCGAGGTGGTTTGTTTACGTTCCGCCATCTTTGTTATTTATATTGTAGAGGGCGCTCTTATATTTTTTCAAACTAATAATTTTAACTCATCCATATTAATAAGTTATTTCTATTCAATATCAAATAATAACTGATAAATATAAAAACTAAACCTTTCATTACAAATTTCTCGTTTCTTTTCAATGCATTGGTTGAAATAAACTGGTATCTGCTTGATTGAAACGATACAAACATAGTGAAAAAGACAACCGTAAACCAGCTTAGAATTTGTAAACTACAAAACGTAATCGGTTATTGTTCGTTCCGTTTTGGTGTTTCATACTGACTAATATGGTTTGTATTAGCTTAAGACCCTTCAAACATTAATGTGATAGATATATTAAAGACTGTTTTACAAAAGGATGGAACTTTTTTACTTTCAAAGTCGTATTATAGTGATATCTGTTATGTACGGATTTCGACTCTCACCGGTTAATTTCTTCTTTTACACGTGCTTTTTAAACTTCCTGTTTAAACATACACAAGTTTCTAAATTGTTTTTTAAGAGAAATAAACTTATTTTAACAATCATGAAGCGTTCTAGAATCATTTACAAGCAGTTTCAGCTTCTGTTTGGTGATGGAAAACAGGTTTTTCCAAGAAAATACCGCAAACGACCGCACAGGATTTGAAATTACCGGAGTTTCATTAGACCTTTTCTAACAGTTACAAAAAGTTTTTTTACCTAAAATTTCGTGGGGAGAAGGGGGTGCGGACTATGTACCAGTGCGAACTATACAAGCCTTTCTACGGTATTAGTTGCCTTTCTAAAAATTAAGTTGGGGAAATTCATAAACTTGTAGCAATTTCTTTGTATGGCACATCTAAGAAATACAGCAGTGCTTGAAAATTAACATTTTTCACATTAAACTATTCTTTATGTCTAGATTAAATGAGCAAAATGTGAGGAACAAAATCCATCAAAAAATGACCAGGTGTGTTATTTTGAGATTTACTTTTTAAGTTTAAAAGAAAGACTTTCTTTCAGGTGTTCCGATGTCTACCTAACAATCAGGTGCTATCATTCAACGAAGCAGATGCATACATGCAAGAGAAGTCAATGGCAGAGACAGATCCAGCTACTGCACATAAAGAATTAAAAAGAATACGTGGCAATCTTGTCTTAATGCCACTTAAATTCTTAGACAACGAAAGCAGTATCATTCCATTTGGCGGTAGAGAAGCACTTTTACCAGTTTCAGTATGGGTTTGATCATGATGATTGGGAATATTATAAACTGTAGATATGATATGATGATTTTTATTGTAATGAAATTAAATGGCATATTTGTTACATTAGTTGTAAGGAAAAACATGTGGAGTAATGACAACTCACTTTAGTCAGTTTCTTAAATAAGTATTTTGATTATTAACTTAATTGAAGTAGATTGTATGGATTATGAAATATATCATGAATAACATTGTTCTTTCAATTAAGAAAATTGAGTAACTTCATTAGAATGGAACTATAAAAGGTATTAGAGTATCAGTTATGATGTACATGTATTACATGCATTTATTCATTATTTGATGCATTTCAACTACTGATATTCAGAATTATTTTTGTTGATGAAAAACTAAACATGTATTAGTAATATATAGAATTATCATATTTTAATGAATTTCATTCTCCACAATTAATTCCCAGTGATATGTTTTTTTTGTAAATTGGTTTTATTTTATATTATTTACATTTGATTATGTCCTGATATCAATTGAAGTCATATATTTCAGCAGTGTTGATGTTTTGGGGAAATTCTTTGTCATATAGCATCACCATTTTCATAAATCAAAGCGTCTTTATACCACCCACTGGCAAAGATGGGCTATATATTGATTGAATGTTCATATGTCTGTTTTTCACTCTGCGTTTCCTACTCACCTTTCAAGGTAAATCAGTGACTTGACATAAAGAAAAATTCACAGATTGTCGAGTTCATGATGTTGTTGGATAATTCCTTTTTTATCTATTTGACAAAATATCAGAATAAAATGCAGGTTTCCCACAAAGATAACTACGTATTCTTTAATATCATGCCACATTTTTCCATATTGCTCATTGAATCTCCAATCCAATAATAGATTACACTGTAACAGTGTTTTCATTTTTGATTAATATAAATTTGTTTTTTTTGTTAACTGCATTGGAAATATAGTATAATTATATAGTCATGGACTTACCTCGAATCCATTGTGCTTTGAGCAAATGAAATATTTGACTGAACCAAGAATTAGGGGCATTACTTACAAAAGTGTTCATAGGAAGATGTGTATATTTTAATAGTGACTGTTAACAATGATTCCCTAGATAATAATGTCATCACCATTTGCCTTCATTGGTCTCAGTCACATGACGGTGGATAGATATAGTCACATGACGGTGGATAGATATTTGTCTTATTTATTATTAGTTTCTTCACGAATTATTGTTGAAAAGATATGTATGTATATAAACAGAGTCATATTTATTTTTATACAATCATGTACATTGATGCAAGCATCTCATATTGTTGAAGTTAAGATTACATATGGTATATTTATATGTTGGTATTTTTTTTATCAGATTTTAGATAAGAAGGTAGACTTAAAGTGTGAAAACTGCTCAATACACACCAATTGCATCGTTATAGTTTAAATTATTTAGAAAGTGATGGCTTAAATATAAGGTTATTGAGATCTTCTAGAAATATTGGTATTAATTTACTGACTAAATAATGGTTCTAAAATACCTCTCCATTTTTTGTGCGGTTTGGTTGCTTTCCCAATAATGTATACCAATAATCTCCTTTCACTCATATTAATGGAAGCTGTTTTTAAAGAAACTAAGGGTTTATGATCGAAAACGATTTTTACACTTTATTTGTACCATGCTTTTACGAAAGGTAATACAAAAAACTAATAAGCCATAGAGCTTGATTTAAAAGTAGCATTCTGTTTCATTCTTGCCATGAAATGAATTGACTTTTTATTCCAATTTTTATATAAAGATTAATTAAAATGATTAAGTAAATATTTTATGTCTGTTTAAACACTTTCTAGAACTATATAGCATTGCATACTAGTTTATGTTATTTGATCATACTAGTCTTGTATTAGTATATTTGTGTATGATAAATGACAATTTTTACACCAATTCATTTCTAAATACTAATCAGTAGTCATAAAATTCTCCTGGTCAAATACAAATTTGTCTTCTTTATTTTATGCATTTGGCTATTTTTAATTTGCGCTTTTTATTATTGTTCATTTCAGTCTATATGCAACCAATTTTAAACTGTATATTGCTACGCCTTTTATATTTATTTATGTCTTACATCAAAGTGCATTGTTTTCATTTTTTCGTCGGGTGCTCTGGCTTCCTCCACTAATAAAAACTAGCTACCAAGATATAACCAATAGTGCTGAAAGTAGCATAAACACCAACAATCAATCAAAATCTGTAAAAAGTAATGTTAACTACTGTAAAGTCAGAAATTATTGCGAGGTTTTTATTAACACGAATATTACGACTGGGTGAGTATTACAATAATAAGAACTCGCAATCTGATGTCAGATACATATAACTGTATGCAGATGATATTGAAATCACAATAATTAATCTTTTTTTCCTTTCGTCAAAATTCCGATGATAAATGATGCAATAATTTCTGAATTTACTGTATGCTATTCTGATTGAATTATTTACACATTGAGAAGGCAAGTACTTTCAATATCAGCTAGTCCCAAGGTTCTGATGCATTGTCATGATCAATTGATAGAATACTATACAAATAATATGTGATGATCATGAAAGAAGAGATCACTGGATTTTTACAGCTTTTGACCACATATAGTCCCTGGTCACATAGACAAACATACCATATAGTTTTACCAATGTTTGTTGTTTTGTCATTTAGAATTACAATAGTTGTAAAGAGTTTTATTATCATGTTTATAGTTTTATTATTTAGTTGTAAAATAATTAGTTGCAAATATAGTTTGGGTTTTACTTGGTTGACATTGCCGTCCATGAAAATGAAAAAAATTATGCAATACATGATTTCTAATATAGATCATTTCAACATGGAGGATGACAAAGTAGTAAAGGACATTTTTCTACGTATCTGTCTAGATTTCCCACAGGCGAAATAAGGAAATAGAAAGACACTTAATTTTTCCTTCATTTATTTGAGAAACACAAGTTCTTTTAATTTGTTCTTTTAAACTTATTTTTTTGTTTCTTTGATTTTATGTTCCCTAAATAAAATTCCTTGATCCATCCCTGTATAGTATATAAAAATGATTAGTCCTTCAACAATGAGTAAAACACAAACTGTATAGATAGCTATAACAGGCCCACACATGACAAGAAAGAACTCTTTTAAAACTATAGTATAAGGTTTTTAGGAGTTTGATGTAGGATATTGTATTTATATTTGAGTAATTTATTATTATTGTCATACTTGTATTATATTTTTAGTAAGCTTATCAGTCATCCTAAACAGGGTAAACTGTAATCTGCTTGTAATGAGATTATTTTGCTTTTATGCTTGAAAAATTATTTTATAATGATATATTCTATTTAAATAGTTGTTATAGTATTAGAAAATTCTTATTTGGCTAAATGATCTAAGTTAATGTAGTTTTAATTATTAGATGTTTTGTATTTTGATTTAGCTTTGCTTTTGTAAGATAATTTTTATAATTGTTGATGTTTTGACATTTGATTTACCACATGAGTTATTTAAAAACAAAATCATATATGATCAGATTGAATTTGATTTGGAAAAGTTTATAGATGTATATGCTAGGCTTTCTCATTGACAAAGTGAAATACCAAGTTTTGCACATATATAGACTATTCCAAAATGGTGATTGTCTTGCCTGCTATGGTAGATATTTGAGCATACTGTTTCTTGTGTCTGGCATCAGCAATTGATAAAGTTTGACAAGGTTACACATTATGTGTAAACATTTTATAATTTTAATAAGCCCATTTCTAAGCAAAAATTTGAAAATCAGTCCTTCTTACACAATGTCCATCTTCCTTCTGACTACTTTTGAAATTCAGCAAACTGAATACAAAAATTTACAAAAGCTTTTATTAACAAAAGAACACACAAAAAAATCATTTTAGATGGAATGTTAGTCAATGGATAATGTAAATACCTTGTTGTATATTTATTCATGACAGTTTCAACTATTAAGGTGGCTCATTAAATGGATGTCTTCAATACTGATAATGACGTTATTTGTTATGCTGTAATTTTCTGCAGATTTTTTGTTGTTGCTGTTTTTATCAATTGTTACATTCAAATCTTTTTGAATTTTAATTGAAAAAGACAATAGTACACTTACAAATGTCTTCTTTTTTATTTATTTCCATGTTGACTTTCAATGCAGTTTTACTAATTCAAAGTACTGCATGACTATATCTGCAATAAAGGGATTTCTCAATGTTAAATAATTTGTCTCATTGATAAAAGAAATCCTCTTATTTGGTCATGTGCTTAGTAGAATGGAATTATGATAAATGAACTTTCAAGGCTGTTGGAAGTTACAAAATAAATACTGAGAAGTTACAAAATAAATATTGGGAAGTTACAAAATAAATAATGATTCTCGATCTCATAATTTGATATTGTCTTTTACAGTACCGAAATGTATATCTCTTAGTCAAATCTCTCTTTTATTGATCTTGAAACATTTGAGGGTTTTTAAAGATTGTGTGATTAACATTCACTATTTAATTATAATTTTCCCAAATAAAAAAATGGGTCATTTGATAACCAATTTTAGATGAAACTTACTTAGTGGGTTTCATATTAGGATAGTTTTGAACAAATTGGCTGAAAAAACTGATAAATTTATGTTGCATGATCAATTATAATGAGTTTTTATTATTCCGAAGATTGTCAAGTTGTTGACTCTTATATTGTGAAAATGTTAATCTGAACATTTTGACCTGTAATAACTGTACTGTTATGCAATGTTTATATTGACATGCACTGACTGTAGACTTATTCAGTGTTCTATAGAATATTAAATGACAAATTGATATTGATATGTACATTGTAATATTTAAAATATTGATACCAAGAAAAGTTCTATTGTAATCATTTAATGATAGCATTAAGTCTAGTGGTCAAATGTTTACATGTTCCTCTACCAACTCTTATCTAAAGAAAAGATTTCAATGTTAGAAAACCATCTGAAATGCATGTCAGCAACCTTTTGATTTTTCAAATTACAAATCTCATATCTTTAATTTTACATATTTCAGTAAATATGGATAAATAAAAAATGTAAGGCTAATTGATCTTTTTTTGTGGTGCTTTAAGCAACTTTGGTTTTTATGCAAATTATGTTTAAATTTAATTTAATAAAAAGACCTACAAAGAACAATGACTTTTCTACCAAGGATAAATTTGATTAAATGTCAACTCATATCCAAAATCCTTGACAGAACTATTCATTTCTGTGGCCTAAGCATGTACTGTAGATTCAGAAATGTTTGCAATGTTTTTATTATTTGGAAAAAAATGACAGGAAAGGTTTCACAAAAATAAAAATTCACATTGTTAATTTAAGAAGCATTCATTGTATGCAGCATTTCCTGGAATTTAATAATTAATCTCTCACATTTATGATCCTTGTTCAATGATATCTATAATAAATGCATGTAAAGATTTCTGAATTTACAGTAATTTTAAGCATTCCATTTTATTCTTATTGTAATTTCCTCCTACAATTCCTTATAGTAAACATTCCATTATGGCTGTATTGTTCCTTGTTTTAATCCTATTGATTAATATTGTCAATTGTTTCTTTGTATTTTTACAATGATCTCATCTGATTTCTATACAACATATCATGATAATAAACAGAGAACATTAAACATTTCATTCAGTTGTCTCCTCTTGTTTTCTTTTAAGTGTATTTTAATTCAAAATACACAATACAACAGTGATTAAATTATTTCAAATTTTTAGAAGTTATGTTCTATTTTAAAAGTTTTGGGAATGGTATCATATAGATATTGATTATAGAAAGCAAGTGTATTAATTTGTTATTGTTAGACCATAGGTAAGTTTTAGTTCAAATTTGTGGTTCCATTGATATACCACACTACTGTCAAAGTCAAGGGTACCAATAAGGAAAGTAATTTAAGGTTATTTATAGGTTCTTTAACACATTATTCTGATGCACACATGTGGCACTGATAATAATATTTTTTGAAAAGATAGATAAAATCAGATGAAATTATGCAGTTTTGCCAAAAATTTGAAAGAGTAGATTCCATTTAATCAATAAATGATTAATTTCAGTAATATTTCTTACTTTCTTAATATAACGACCACTTTTAAGTTTACTAAAAACATTACATATAGCCAACAAAATTAAGAGATTTCAATAAGTAGTTTTATAATTATACCCCTGGAAACAAAGTTTGGGATGATATATATATGAATCATCATGTCCATCGACCTGTCTGTCAGTCCTGCTTCGTGTCTGGAACATAATTTTTATACCATTGAACTTAAGGTGATCTAAGTTAGTATACAGATGCATCATTATCTTTTGGTGTGTCTTATACCAAAGTTTGTTCACTCTGACCTTAACTTTGACTCCTTTGATAGTAAAACATAGTCCAATTTGTGTCCAGCTCATAACTTTTGTACCGTATATGGTAGGTTAACTTAAAGTAATATGCACTTGCATCATTGGCTAGAAGTGTGTCGTATACAGTAGTCAGGTCACTCATACCTTGACCCCTATGATAGTTAAAAATTGTGAGATTTGTATTGGGTTCATAACTTTTGTACTGTAGCACTGATATTGACAAATCTTTGTATGCAGAAGTATCATACTGACTTTGACTTTGACCTTTGACCCCTATGATATAACATAGTCAAATTGGTGTCAGGCTCAAAACTTATGTACAGATCCAAACTTGGTATGCAGTTACATTATGGGCTGGGGAAATGTTATATACAAAAGTCCAGTCACTTAGACCATGACTTTGACCCCTGTGATAGTAAAACATGATTTGTACTGTGGAAATTATAAGGCAGTGTCTGCGCGACCCAGCATGCGGGGACGAGAAGCCAAATTTGCCTTCATGAGCTATGCGTACCCGCATCGGGTTTCATAGTTAAATGTCATCGGATCAAGAATGAAACGTGAAATATACACGGAAATTATCAATAATTTGCGGATTTTGTGAATTCAGTGAAGAGAGTGGAAAATAATATTTTTTAATTTGTATTTATTAGTTAAAGATACATAATAAACATTGTAAATTAGATGCACACTAAAGGAATAAAACTGTACAGTCCTTGTAAAAGAAAACATAATAAAATTAGAAATTAAATGTAAATTATACTGAATTTGAAAAAAAGATATGTAAAAACTCGAATGTGAAAATAACTTTCTAGTAAAATGTGAAACAGAAACCAAAATTTTAAAATATCTAAAACGACTAAAAAAAAAGCTTGAGTGTATCAGGGACAGTCTAGTTAGTAAAGAAAGTCCCTGAGTGTATACATAAATTAAAAAAGCATGTACTAAGATCAAATTCCATATGTATAAACATAGATGCATTTGATAATTATATATCCATTCAGAACTCTACTCCTTCTACTGTTGCACCTGAAATACAATAAAATATTTCAGGTGTTCATATATAGGTTAAAATGAACAATGTTATGTATGATGAATAAATTAATAGATTTGAATTAATTATGTGTTATCTATATGTATAGATAATCAGTGTTATTTATATATTTATTTAAAGAACTTAAAACTGTTTTTATTTTGTTTTGTTTTTCTCACTTGTTTGTAATGCTTTTTAATTGGATTATCATTTAATTTTTGTTATTATAGATTCCATTATACAATAACTATAGTTAATATTTAAAGGGAAAATATTTAAAAACCAACCAGAGACATTTTTCATCTCTGTGGGTAATCAATAAATTCACTAATTGCGATAATTTCTGCGTTTATTTCACATTTTATTCCCAATCCGATGATATTTAATTATAAAACCGGATGCGGGTACGGGTAGCCTAAGAAGGCTAATTTGGCTACTCGTCCCCGCATGCAGGTTCGCGCAGACACTGCCAAATTATAATTGGGTTGACCAAAATCTGTATGCTGATGCAACATTGTCCAATTAATTCGTAGCCTCACTGTAGGGGTCAAAACTTATGTACAGTAAAACTTTGGCTAATAAAACTTGGTATGCAGTTACATCATAAGCTGGTGTGTATTATGTACCGAAGTCAGGTCAATCAGACCATGACTTGACCTTTGACCCCTATAATAGTAAAACCTTGTCTGATGGGTGCCTTTTGCATCACTTTTGTACCGTAGAACTTTGGTTGACCACACTCAGTATATAATACTGATGCATTATGGTATTGGCGTGGTCAAATATCAAAGTCAGGTCACTCTGACCTTTACCTTTGACCCCTTTGATAATATGAAATTGATTTTTGTATGGTGCATAAGTTTTGTACTGTTAGTGCTAAGATTGACAAAGCTTTGTATACAAAAGAATCATGGGATCCGGATGTGTCTAATACCAAAATCAGGTCACTTTGCATTGACATATGCTGAAAGGCAAAAATCTCAAAATGTAACAGTCTCAATACTGAATTTCACAGCAGCAACTAAAATGCATCTACGGTGGTATTAGTCTGGCTGTGCAGACACTGTATACTACATGTAAAACAATCTCACTATTTTTACAGACATGGGGTTCATACTAATATTTTCTTTTGATTCTTTTGTTCGAATATGCTTATATAAGTAACCTTAAAAATTATGATATTGTTCAAATACGATATGTTTTACATTGCCCGGTATTGAATGTTAGCTGGAAGGTCATGCATAAGTTGTCTCACTTTTTTTGGTCTCTTAATCACATTACGGTACCATTTTTTATGCATCAGTTGGGCATATTGACAATGTCTGTTCAGTCATGCTCAAGGCCGAAATATTTCAAAATCCAAAATCTAAATCAGAGCTTTGCATGAGAGGGTACAGTGGAATCCGTGTACACTCCCTATCGGGATAAATGGAGATGTGTCACTAACGTATACAACAATATTTACAATATCCCCACCTCAACACGAGGGAGTGCTAGGACTTCGGGCAGAGTTTGTTATTATGGTGGAGGAAGCCGAGGCTAACCGAAGAGATATCAGCAGATTGATCTGTCCGGGGCAATTTTAACCAACCGAGGCCCCCAAAGTCCCCATTTTAGTTTAAACTCCGGTCTCGGTACCAGAGATGTGTGTGGGAGGGTGAAAATCACCCATCTGATATACTGATATTTTTAGCGCCCCGAGTCAGAATCGAACTCGGGACCTTCAGCACTGTAGCCATCGGTCTTAACCACTAGACTACGAACCCACACAGGTGTATTCCTGAATCAAAATGATTTCAAAAAGTTTGTAACGGCAAATTTTTATCAAATAATATCTGTATTTTCATGCAAGTACCGAAGTGGGCTGGTAATACCCATGGGACTAACAGTCCACCAGCAAAGTTATCAACCAGTGGTCACGAGTATTAACATAAAATGTACCAATTTTAATGCACCAGATGCACATTTCGACAAACAATGTCTCTTCAGTGATGCTCGAGGCCAAAGCACTTGAATATTCAAAAACTTATACAAGCATTGAAGAGCGGATCAAACAAATAAGAACAAAAAGTATAGCCAAAATCAAGACAAGGAATCAGAGCTTTGCATGAGGAGATATATTCTTTAATTTAAAATAATTTCAAAACTTTTATAACGGCAAATTTTTATCAAACAATATCCGTATTTTCATGCAAATGCTGAAGTAATGTCTACTGGGCTGGTGATACGCTCGGGTACTAACAGTCCATCGGCAGAGGTATCTTTTTGAGGAGTTGATCAAAAGAAAAAGAATTAAAAATTTTAAAAATCTCTACTTATGAATTTTTTTTTATTATATTTGTATATATTTGTTCGCCAATTCTCTCTTATGTTTAGTATACAGAGGGGATATTTTTTCCTTTTGAATATCACTGGTATCTATTCTCACCCATCGAAAAAGACTTTTCTCTTATGCCCATATTTTACATTGAATTTTGGACTTTAACTGTGTTACGTTTTTTTTTGTCGAGCCTGCGACTTTTGTCGCAAAAGCGAGACATAGCGATCCTACATTCCGTCGGCGTCGTCGTCGTCGTCGTCGTTGGCGGCGGCGTCCACAAATATTCACCCTGTGGTTAAAGTTTTTGAAATTTTAATAACTTTCTTAAACTATCCTGCATTTCAACCAAACTTGGACAGAAGCTTGTTTATAATCATAAGATTAGTATCCAGAAGAAAATTTTGTAAAAAAAAAAAATCCTGTTTTTCCGTATTTTACTCATAAATGGACTTAGTTTTTCTGCCAGTTAACATTACATTCACTCTGTGGTTAAAGTTTTTGAAATTTTAGTAACTTTCTTAAACTATCCTAGATTTGTACCAAACTTGGACAGAAGATTGTTTATAATCATAAGATAGTATCCAGAAGAAAATTTTGTACAAAAAAAATCCTGTTTATCCGTATTTAACTCATATTTGGACTTAGTTTTTCTGCCAGTTAACATAACATTCACTCTGTGGTTAAAGTTTTTGAAATATTAATAACTTTCTTAAACTATCCTGGATTTGTACCACAATAGGACAGAAGCTTGTTTGTGATCATAAGATAGTATTCAAAAGTAAATTTTGTTAAAAAAAATCCTGTTCATCCGTATTTCACTTATAAATGGACTTAGTTTTTCTGCCAGTTAACATTACATTCACTCTGTGGTTAAAGCTTTCAAAACTTTAATAACTTTCTTAAACTATCCTGGATTTGTACCACACTTGGACAGAA